ACCCTAAGTTGTTCTTCCGGGGGTTATAACCCAAGTGGCTAACCACTTACAACTTGAACAAACATCCAAGTACAATCCACAAAGCATCCCAAGCTAAGAAACCCGCCAACCCGCGCCGGCGAGCTCATGATACTTCCATACGCACGTCAACACAGCATGCTACACGCGCGGATTGACTGCTCAACTGCACCATCCGCTGAAACAGCATTTGGCCATCTGGCCATCTGGCCATCAGGTCACTGTGCGTGTGAGCTTGCAAGCGTGTAGCATCATGGATGTTTCCAACTTGAGTTGAAGCCCCATCTGTCAAACCAACACGCAAAAAGAGATCAGCCATGGCAAATGATAATTTCCAAATCCAAAATAAACCTAGGGTCCTGTGGTACAACCTCACAAGGTGCCAAGGGACGCGTAGGTAAGGATTCCTGATGAAAGAAAGACGCCTGGCCTTTCGGTAGCGAACCATGTGTTACAACGTGTGAGTCATGAAAACCCGGTATTAAAATGGTCGACCCAGAACCATGTAAAGTTTAAGCAGGCGGATGTCCGCAGCTATTTCTGGCTAATTCTTGTCCCTTACTAAGCATCACTCCACCCGGGCTTTGATTGTGACTCATGTGTTTCACATTGCCAAACCATTGTTCGGGGTCATCTAAACGCTCCGAGGCACCACATCTCTAGACACGAAATAGGATGCTCAGCCCGCTCAGGGTATTACCATCATGAAACCATGTGATGTGAGTCAACCAACCAACCAACCCCCTGTGGTTCAACCATGTCAGGTCGGGCCATCGACCATTTTGAGGCCCCAAGGTCCAGCACCGTTGCGGTGCACTGTGTTTGTTTGAGTGCTCTTTTGTTGAGGGGGGAAACAGACCCGACCCCTTTTTCGAGGTAAAAGGACCTTGGGTAAAACCTATGAAGCTCGGCTTCTGCCCGCATGCGCGGAGAAGAGTTCTCATCTTGCGCGCCAGGTCGGCCAGAAATGATCGAAGAGAGAGTCGATGGCCTCGAGATCGAAGCTTCGCCGATTGGGTCAAACCCAAAGGTCCGATCCATGGAATTTGGATCGAACTCCTCAAAATCAGTCCTTTTGACACCCCGTTTCAGCAAGTGGGTTGCAACCCGGGTAAGTTGGAAGGTTTACCCCAGCCAACACACTTCGGCGTGGGGCAAAATTTACTCTACGGGTCCTGGGGCTAATAGAAAAGCCAGCCTCACCCCGACTTGGTGTTGGGGTCTCAAAAAATATCAAAAATACAAAAACTATCAGGACCCGGGCGCGCAATTGCCTTTCTCTTACAGAGTGGAAACGCACCTTCGTGGGCCAAATCGCTCGTCAGTCACCCCCACATCGGTGGAATTGTGGAAGCTCGTAGACACGTCGGTGAGGCGCCGGATTTGTCCCAAGAAACGTCCAAAACGTTGCTTGCTACTGAAACAGTCCTCCCCAAAAGTTCACCCTCCCAACAACCATGGAAGCTGACAGGAGGGTGTTGGAAGACTCTTTTCCTTTCTGTCCACTTCCATGATCGTTGGAAAGAGGGTAAAGATACAAGAACTCAGGAAGCAGGACAAACAAATGACTAATGTGCCAACCCCGAAAAAAAAGCCACAGGTCAGATCCGGTCGGCAGGTTTGGGGTGGGTGCGACCTGGTTCATTCGGGTCACAAAATGTAGAGGAAAAAGTAGCCGTATGCCTGGCTAAGGGTTTTGTGTCGTGCGGCTTAACCTTTATACCTTGTAAACAAGTAGTCTCAAACCCTGACTGATGAATCCCTTAAGTCTGATTAGCCAAAGGAAAGAAGCCCCAAGTGACAGGAACCAACCTGAATAATCGTGTTGAAGGGCGAACACCCATTTTCTTGCATCCCGCTCTTCTGGCTAACAACTCAACCGATCCCCCACTGACAATATATAGCCTCCAAGCGAGGCGGCTGTCACATCATGATATGCTTGATGAAGAACGCAACAAACTATCAAACCCAAAACAGAATAACCTCCACATGGGCTGTCCTCAGATCCCTGCTAAAAGCTTAACTTTTCGTGTGTTAAATCGAAACCCCCTTCTATAAGCCCTAAAAAGCTCAAAACCTCAGGGGACGGCTGGGAACCGTTTGTGCGGTCGCCATTTCTCCGGGTTGAGGGAACCGGGCTCCAGCGGTCGACATCTGTCAAGCAAAAGGTCCTTGTGACACATGTGGCCATGCGTCAAAATCCAAATCGGTTAGCCCCCAGTGAACATCCGATTCAATCCAACCACTAAAATAGGTTCTAAAATGGTGGTGCACCTACCCCGAAATGGCACCATTGGTTTTGACCCATGGCCATGTGGCCTTGTTTTTTTCAGGGTTTTGGCGGCTTCAAAAGGGAACCGAAGAGGCAACCCACCATGTTGGATTTTGTTTTCGTGGTAGGCCCCTAAAACAACGTTACCCGTCTGTTTTCCAGACCAAGGGCAAGCTCTGATCCGATGAACATCGCTTGCAACTTGTGACTCTTCGAAAACAAATTACGTGCAGAGCCAACCTTCACTCACTTCCGATCGAGTGCATGGGCCCAGAAGAACAGTCCAGGATCTCAGGTGAGTTCATCTTGGGCTCCTTTCACCTCTGCGAATTTAAACCGATGAGCAAAGGCCCGCAGATACACCATGATCCATGCCAAACCTCTCCGGCCGAAGGCGCGTGCTCGCAGGGATGATCTAGCCTCGCATACGATGGAGAACCGTGGGACATGTTCCCTGATAGGTGTGGGTTCGCGAGCTGCGTTGACCCCATGCAAGGCCCAGTACCCTTAAGGCCACGCCTTTAGGCAAAGCCATGGTAGTCTGTCCTAACTCCCATATTCAGCTTACACATATCACTTGAATCGTCCCTCTGGTTCCCGGCAACTTAACCCCACGTAAAGGAAATCATTTGAGCTTGGCAAATAAGACCATGAAAAAGACTTCGCGCACCTCAAAAACGAATCAGCACGTAAAAAACCTTCATCGTTCATCGTGGTCGCATACCATATGTTTAGGTTAATTCGCCCCACCTCTTGTCCCGCAAAGATCTATGCCACCAGGGGAATGTGTAAAAAGACCGCCCTCCTTTTAACAGCGAGGCTATAAGCAGGGCTATGAGTGGAAGCATCTAAGTACAACATGAAGAACCACCTTGAGACCAGCATCGGGCAACATTGAAACCACACAGTCCATGTTGAGCGATGCTCAATCCCTGGAAGCCAGAGAACAAAACATTCCCATCCGAAGCTTTGTGGCCACTGCGCACAAGTGCTAAATGAGTCTTAGTGCAGCAACGTGGTCCCAAAAACATAGAGGACAGCCTTCAACCTATGGAAAGACTTGCTGGTGTTCAGGAGGGAATGACCGAGTCCGGTCTTTGGGAATAAAACTGGGATTGCCCTTTGAAAATCCATAAGTTGGATGGTCTATAGAGATCCCACAAAGTAGAAAACAGCCTTCAACCTTTGGAACTTGTCTCCAACGAAAGGAAACCATTTTCCGCGCCCGAAGCTTCATGGACCCCGGAGCTTAAGAATATTCACATTGGTTGTCTAGAACCCATAGAGGCAGATGACGATACTAAAAAAATGGGTAGGTGTTGCTTTTGGTCCTTGAAAGCCACGAAAACAGGGTTTTCTCAGAAAAAGACACGCCCCTACTGTGGATGGCTACGAAATCCATTTCGCACCCCTGTTTGTTTTCAAGGAAATATATCACTGGTGGAAATATTTGTTCCAGGGGACTTGAGCAAATGGAATATAATTAGCGGAGACCCTTTTGATTTACAGCTAGGAGTGCGAAAAACCTTGCGAGCTTTTTGTGGCCTGACCATGCCTTACTTCTCTAGAGTTTTGGCCCCTAAGGCAGGAGGGGTTGACAGCCCAGAGCTTGCCATGTATTGCACACATGCTGGGCAAAAAACATGAACCGGAAAAGCCAACACATAATCCATACCTAGAAAATCGAAATGCCACGAAATAATAGTTTTTTTTTGAAAAAAGTATCCTTTTTCCATTGCCGGCCATTTTTTAGGCAATTTTTAGCCTTTCGGCCATTCTTCAACTGGCAGCTTAAGCAGGATTATTGCGTTGTTTTTTTGGCGGCTTGTGTCACTCGACTTTCCGCAATTCCGGCGAAACTTTTCGCAATTCCGGCGAATATTCCCACAATTCCGGCGACACTTTCCGAATAAGAAACTTGAGTCCATTCCGGCGGCTACGAGCATTACTCTCCTTGAGCCTCAGCGGTCTAATTCCAGCCGTTTTTGCTGATTCCGGCAAATTTATGTGAATTCGGCAAAAATTTGATGCATTTCAGATTCCGGGTGAAATTTCAGCCGAAAGAGTTTCTAGGTATCTAATCAAAAAATGTGTGCAGGAACTTCTGTAGTGCTGGAACTACGTGAGCTAGCTCTCTCTAAGAATGCACGCACACTCGCGTAATCTCGCGACAAAGGTGGGCAGTGCGAGAATTGGGAAATAGAAGCGAGCTGAAAACGTGGGCGTGTGGGTGAATTCGCAACATATGCTTAAGTGAATGGAAGTTATATATGTCTTCACGTTGCCAAGGAGAGTCATGGGACGTGTACAAAACACCGTGTGTAGCGTAAAATGCCCCTCCCTCAACGCTAGCTATAGTTCTTGGTGGCCTGAGTTTCGCTCAAATAGCAGGTTACAACCCTCCTACCCAAAATTTGTAGGCTCTGACTGACGGACATAATCCAGCACCACTTTGACACCTGGGAAACCATGTCTTTGTTGGTATCTACACCTTCTTCGCTTGTTGCTCAATACTTTATCGATAGAGACGGGTTTTATTCGTGTGCAAACAAGGCAACTACCTCACGGTTCCAAACGAGCCAAATACGCCTTACCGGAGAAGACAACTGCTTTTCGGGGCTGGCAGTGGAATCCTCAGAAACCAGGGCTTCTGAACGGTGTGCCATGGACTTCGCAGCCATCCACCGAATCACATCCGCCGCCGAGGCTCAGTGGCATCAGCGGGATGAGACCCAGGCCCACCACCGAAGGCCCGTAGCGCACCAGTTGCGCGTGCTGCTTGAAGCGGGGCTTGTCCAGGAAGTGCGAGGTCTGATGGACCACCGTGTGGATGATCACCTCGGAACATGGGACCCCCAATGGTTGGTTTCTGGTTGCTGTCCCAATCAGGGAAAAGGGCGCCAGATTTGAGAACCCCCCACCACCTCCATGGTGTGGGTCGTTTTTCAGGGCACCCCGGTTGTAGTTAAGGGACAGCTGACGGAGACTAAGCACTTGAGGGTCTCTAAAATTGTCGACCAGCCCACACCTCGACCCGTCTCATGGCCGCCAGGCCTCAAAAAAACCCGGGACCGTTTGGGGAAACCAAAAGGTTAAGCTCGGTTCCTGAGTGGACTGGCAAAAATAAGTCCGAACTTCGTAAATTGGTCTTTCCAACAAGTTTAAAGTCCAGGAACTCAGGAAGTGAGTAAAGGCTTAAAGCAGTGGAAAGGGGAAACTCGAGCCAGGAATGAATGGGGGCTGTCTATCTGAACCACAGCTGGTTGAAACCTGCCAAGCCTTCGGAATCTAAAGATCAGCCGGCCCATGCCGGATATCGCGGATGTGTTTGTTGGGAACTTGTCCGTCTTCACAGCCTTGAAGATGGAAAAAGACCCCCAAGAATTGGTTCAAGTGGCGTGCAACGTATACGCTTATATTTGCTGGTGACGTATACTGAAGCAACCCGAAACAAACAAACTGGTATTGAGTATAAAAGGGCCGAGAGGTCTCACAGAAACCCTTGGGGAACAGCCCTCACCCTTCCACATCCCCTTTTACATCCCCAGGGCAAACATTATTGAGGTTGTGATTAGACAAGGATATTCAAGATGATCAAGAATTACATCGAAGATGATGATGAAGATGATGATGAACAGAAATGTAAAACAACTCATTGACTCTAGGATATCAAAGTGGCGTACCCAAAGAAAAGAGCTGGTTTTCAAAGGAAAAACACAGGGCTCCCATTTGAGCCAGAATCAACACCTGGTACTAAAAATGGTCTACTTAGATCCACGTCAAGGAGAAAAAGGCTGCTGCGCCCATGTTTTTGTGGGGATTACCTACTACTCTTCATCTTTTGCCTGTGGCGCTCATTTGAGCAGTGGGATGGCGAATCTGACAGCTCCTCTTGGTGGACCCCACCCATAAAAAACCAAGCCGACAGGTCAGTCGTATCAACCAATCAACCAGTCAACCACTCAAATTGACATGAGTCACTGCGGGTTACAAATCCTTTCTCTGAAAGGGGAACTCCTGGTTCCTTTGCCATTTAGCCCCGCTTTCCTAAGGACACTTCGGTGCTTCAATTCTAAGCCCCGTGAGAAAAACACTGATCAAACGAGAGCAGTTGGTAGAGAACTTGACCTTCAAAGAACTCCAGAAAGATGAGTTGGAAGGCCACGCGCAAACAACCGGGGACAAAGCGCGCGTACCTCAAGGCCTCGGCTCCCCCATCCCTATCAGGACTCAGTCGGGGAATCCAACCAGTGAAAACAGGTCGTAGACTCTTAGACTGGGATGTGAAAAATTCGGGGACCCCTATTCCAAATCGATAGTCCCCCGGCTCTAGTTCCTGCCCCTTCCATGACTCACCCTTCAACTCGCTTGCAGCCAACGTCGCCGCAGGCAGCGCCAGGGACGCGATGGATTGGAAGACTGCAGTGTGGGCCACCGCGCCCGCGATGTGCTCGCGGCTGCTGTTCTGCTTGTACTTCCCTAAGCGTCCAACAGGTCTGCGCGTGTGTGTCTGTGTGTCTCTCTGCGTGTCTCTGTGTTTCTCTGTGCGTGTGCGTCTCTCTACGTGTCTCTCTGCGTGTCTCTCTCTCTCTCTCTGCGTGTCTCTCTGCGCCTCTCTCTCTCTCTCTGCGTGTCTCTCTGCGTGTCTCTCTGCATGTCTCTCTCTCTCTCTCTGCGTGTCTCTCTGCGCCTCTCTCTCTCTCTCTCTGCGTGTCTCTCTGCGTGTCTCTCTGCGTGTTTCTGTGTATCTCTGTGTGTGTGTGTGTCTGTGTGTCTGTGTCTGTGTGACTGTGTGTTTGAGGATACTCTTGAGCTGCAGGGAAGCCAGGTGAGAGAAACATGCTCGGCCCGGGCCATTGATCCTCACTTGGAGTAGCCACCAAAATGGCCAACAAACCCATTAAATTGGCAACTAAAATAGCCACTAAAATAGCCACTAGGGGAACCCAAGTTGAAAACAGTCCGAGTTCCTGGGACTTTCCGAAGCCGCAACCTTCACCCCACAAAGGGCACCCTCAAACACCGGGGCCCCAAACGGTGGGGATATGGGCCTGATATGGGTGTGCCATCATGTGCCTTTGTTTGGGGAACCCCAAAAAAGGGCTGGTTTTCCTGTTGCTTTCTGTTTAAACCACCCCCAAAAAGGGGTACCCTCAAAAAAGAGACAATCATACTCTGAATGGGCACAAAATCCTGCACTTTGAAATGTGGTGAACAATTTGTTGGTTGGTTACAGGGGAATCATTCCAAACTATCCACAGTATGGCCCCCGGAAGCGGCACCAAAGAACCACACCGAATGGGCGTGTCTGCTTAAGGCATGTTGCTCAGCGTAGCCGTCCGAATTTCAACCAGAAAGTTCCCCCCGAGCCGTCCGAATCACAACCAGAAATGGGCTTTGGTCCCAGGTGTTCGTGGATTCAGAAATCATGTGGGTCTCTCAAGATGAGGGATTTCCTTCCTTCTGAATTCTCGTCAAAAGCAAATCAAGACGAGGGCCCCCCAACCCCGTGTGCGGGTGTGTTGGTGTGCATGAGTGAGTGTCTGCGTGTACGTGTGTACGTGTGTGTACGTGTGTGTGTGTGTGTGTGCCTGCTTGCGCACCAACTTGCTGGCCCCTAACCTGCGAAGAATGACAGGTGACCCAACAAAACATCATTTCAAGGAGAACCTCCTGAGTGGAGGATTTTTGTTTGGGGTCCCATGTCCGTGTTGCAGGGAAATAGTGTCGACACACATATACAGTATGTATATATGTATATATATATATATACATATCTATTTATATATACACAGCGCGCTCGTACACCCGACACATATACACACACGCATATATATATATATAAATATATATATATATATATATACACATACACACACAGCGCACGCGCGCGCGTTCTGATGTCAACCAACTTGTGGCTCAAGCTGCGATACCCCGCCAGGCCAGTGTCCACAACAATGTAGGCCTTGGCTCGAAACGAGGGCAGAGTCCTTCAGATCATCCCCCAAAAAAACACGGCGCATCGCGAAAAGCATGCCCAAAGTCCAAAGTATGGTAACCAAACGCAGTTGGGGGTGCTGGAAGGAACGTACCACGGTTTTTTCAAGGGGTCCACTAGGGGCCGAGGACTGCGTCGCGCTTTGGCCGCCGGGCGAAGGAGTTGTATATGTCAGAATAGGGGTATAGGCGCAAAGCCAAAGCATGAATGTATCCGTCCATCTATGAACCCCTTGTATGCACCCCTAGTTTTTGGGGTGATTTAACCGTTGGCTATTCTGGGTCAATTATGGGAAATCAGCGCTTTGGGGGTCCAAAATGGTCATGCATTTCATATATGGACCTGCACAATCAGCCTTTGGCCGATTGCATTTTATGTGTTGATCTGATCCAGCTTTTGTGCAGGAAGCATGCCTTCCATGTCCATCTATCAAGCCATCCATCCAGCAAGTCATGCTTTCAATCCACCCACTTGTCCTCCCTCCCTTCCTCCCTCCCTGCCTTTGTTTCACCAAGCCTTTCTTGAGTCTAGGTCCTCCCAGTAGAGAGGTTAGAATAAGGGTACCCTTTTGTCTGTAGTCTATTTTAATAGGGGAACCCTCCCAACCAAAGAAACGGTAAAGGGACACTGGGGGACCTAGTGATTCAAGCGCTCCCGCAAAGCCAGGTCCCATCCCAATGCTGAGCGGCACCAGCGATGCCGTAGGTCAAGTTCACCTAGCGCCAGTGTTTCAATGGTTGCGGAACCGCTTGCAATATTGAGACTCTTTTTAAACTATGTGTCTTCATACAAATACAAATACATACACATACATATGTATATATTTTTTTATATATCTGTATCCTTGTATCTATGTTCGACTATTTACTTACTATTTGTTTTCTTGCTTGCTTGGTTGTCTATTCACTATAGAAATAATATATTACTTCTGTGGCACGGTACATGCCACCCAAACTGGTGCCCCCCCTGCCCACCCATCAACAAAAAGGAATCAGTGGCCCATGTGGAAATGAATGGTCAGATTCCGGGTGAACTATTATATTTCCTAGTTCGTTAGATCGAATTATTTGTTTCAATTGTCATTCAAGCGACCTCCCTATAATGTACCCAGAAAAAAGAAGAAACAACAAGAACAAAAAACACCTTTTTTGGTTCAATCCCGACGTCCATTTACCACGGAATAATTTGTTGACATTTGTTGACCCACCATGCCCATATCTGACGAAAAGACGCCATGGAACTCCTAGTGATACCAAACTTGATGCTTGTCTCATGCGAACTGAACTACCGTACCCAATTGTGAACAAGTGTGCTCCAGAAATGACACCAACCAGCGGAAACAAAAGAATCGGCGTATCCAAACCCAACACTCGAGTAGTTCAACACCTGCTCTGCTTGGAGTGAACCGCTAGTGTCATCTCGCGCAAGTTGTGAGCTGAAACTTAGGGAAAGCCACGAGGCAAACGTCCCCATTTCTGGGGTCCGCTACTTTGCGAAACACCAAGAGTTTGTTTCGCTGTTGTTTTTTTCCCCCGAGAGGGAGCGACGCAGCAGAAACACCCTCCAACAAATGTCGAGTTGGCCAACCGTGGGGCTTGGGCAGGGCCCCTACAGGACCCTTTTTCTTTGGCATGTAGCCAAAGGATGCTAGTCCACACAGAAACAATGCGGCCATGGGTCAAAATCCCATACCCCCAGTGAACATCCCAATCCAACCACAAAAATAAGTTCTAAAGTGGGTGGTGAATTCACCTACCAACCAAAATGGTATCCAAAAACGGTTTTGACCACCACAGCCATGTGGATCTACAGTGTCCTCCCCTTTCTTTGAGTTCCAATTCGCCCGGTCCCAAGACCCGCAAGGCGGAGCTCCACACCAAGGCGAAGCAGTCAGACAGATCGGAAGCCTATGGGACTCAGTCGAACGATAGCGCAAGGCTGGAAACAAAAACACGGTGCATGGGCTGACATCTTCCATGTGCATTAAGGAACATCATTTTCGGCTTCAGTCCAAACTGTGAACAAACGCCTCAGTTTGGTGAAATGGGGAAGGGCGTAAGCCTTGCATCCACCAGTTGGATGTTCGCTTCGCCAGGTTGGTAAGTCGTTAGCCACCTGGGTTATACCCCACTAATAACAAGGTTAACCCCACTTGGGGGGATTTGTAAGTTGGGTTGCAGCCTACGTTGCCAACAACTTGCCGAACATCCCAGTAGAAGCTTCACACCCTAAGAGCCACGGCTGCATAAACTTCGTGGGCTCCCAGTACCTCCCTCCCACTAACATGGCACCTGACAAAAGGTACCTTTAATACGAATCTGACCCTCCGACAAATGCCATGCTTGCAGTTGCCTGAGCCCAGTGGAAAAAAACAAGTCCAGTAGCGATGGATTCCCTTTAAAACCAACAAGGGAAAACGAAACATGCTCTTAAGCAAATGGAACATCTTCGTGGACGCAAGGGCTTTTTCCACCTGGCTCACCATTCGGATCCGCTCGCGACTCGCGCTCCGCGCCTGCCAATTTTTGAGCACCGGGCGCAGAGACTCCCCCACGTCCGAGGAGTAGGCGATGTAACGCTGGGAGGCAATCAGCACTCTCTTCGCACGCGCCAGGTAGGGCAGGTACCGGAAGGCAGTCTCCTCCGGACAGGGTGCTGGAAATAGGACCCCAGCAAAAGATGCTATTTTTTGCCTGCAAACAAAGGCGACCACAAAAAAGGAATAATCTAAAAGGGAAGCTAATTCTGGGAAAGGGAAAGGGGCCAGCGCCCGGGTCCCAACAGCTTGTTGGACAGTAAGGGGTTTTTGGACATGGGAAATTGGACAGTTCTTGGGGGGGTGCTGGAGGGTATCCTTTTGTGAGGTTTACCCCCCCATCAAAAATACGGTTCTTCTTTTGGTTGCCCTTCAAAAGCCACAAAAAGACGACTCGACATGGCTCTTATACATCACCCCACTCAATGGACCAACCAGCCCTGGGCCAACATCAAAGGCTGAACTATGCGAATCTATACAAATATACTATGGTTCCGAAATCCGTTCACACCACGAGATGAAACCATGATTGAAACCATAATTGAAACCAAAACGGTTGTTGGTATTTGCAGGGGAATCATCAACTCAAGGTTTCTGAGCGGCGGTGCAGGATTTTGTCCATCCGCAGCAATATCATACACGTAAATGACTTCAGACCCCTGTCGAGGCTGGCTTCCAATAAAACCACAATGAACGTTCATGTATTCAATAAACTAGGGGTTCATACCAGGGGTTCCACACATTCTATGACAGAATCACCAACAGTCCTGCGTTTCAGAGAAAGTCGTGTCCTTCATAAACAACAGCAGCAAAACGGCAGCCGTTCCCCCCGATACTTCATGCCTACATAGGAGGCTAACAAAAAGGAGGGATAGGAGGGTTGCAACCAACCACCCCATAGTTAGAAGGCTTCCCCTAGGAGTCCAAGACTCAAAGTATGAGAGCCTTTGACGCTCAAAGGCCTCAAAGAATGAGGGCGTAGGCTAGGCCAAAGTCGCCAATCCTGAAGCCCTCGGCAGGCCAAAGGGAAACAACTTTGATATACTTTGAGGCTTTTGCGTGATGGCCCAAGAAATTTAAGGTCTTGCCAACCGAAATTATGAAGCGATGTCCCCTTGTTTAAGCGTAGTTTGCGGGTCCAGGTAGGTCAGAAGGTACTCCCCCTTTCTGGACTTTTTCTGGGTTATCAAAGTATCCTAGGAGCCCAAGACCTGTAATATCAGGGCTGTTGATAAGGCCCAAATGTGTTGTTCAAACTCACACGACTCGACTCGACTTCTTTGACTCGACAAGAAACTCGTCCTCCAGCTCTTTTGTGTACACCTCTGCAGGGTCTGTGCCTCCACCGGTAAAGAAGCCCTGGACGGCCCTCGATCGCATTTCGCTGTAGCACACGGGGTAGGGAGGCAGGGGGTCCCTAAAAAAGGTGGGCCACGTATGTTGTGGTCCCAGATTTCAGGATCCCTTTGCAGAACCAAATGTTGATTCTTAGGGGGACCTGTACTAATAGAGATGAAGCACTGGAAGTGAAATCATATATGACCATGGGTCAAAATCCTGTACCCCCAGTGAACATCGCAATCCCAACGAAAATAGACTAAAGTGGGTGTACCCCAAAATGGTACCATTGGTTTTGACCCACAGCCATATTCAGAAGCCTTGGATCACATTTCGGGTCGACACAGCGGCTCCGGTGCCAAAGAATCCGGGGGCAAGGCACCTGAAGAATGCGTCCCATGCTCATAGCGTTTTTTTTCCATTTTCACAAGCCCCAAAAACAAATCGGGGAAGGAACACATGTAACCACGTTGAGAGACCCAGCAGAAAACTTTTTCAGAACTCTTCGAATCCGCAGTTTTCTCGGACCCTGAAAAAAAACTCCTTCTGGAAAATTCGGGGCTTGGCTTGCACACCGTGCTTCGTAGCAAAGGACATGATCTGGATGGAGCCGAATTTCCGCATGCCAGCCTTCCACACGCCTTTGGGTCCTGTATTTCGGCACACTGAGTGACGCCTTTGGGTCGTGCATGCAGTGCGACAGTCTAGGATCAGCAGGACACTCACAAGTGACCTTTTGGATAAATAGATGGTGGAACCCATCTGTCTCTATCCGATTATAGTCTAAGAAGGACACCTATGAAACCCCAAAAAGACACAACACTCGTGAATCGTTTTGTGTGCGGAAGTTTGGGTCAGGATCATCCAGTTCCCAATACAGCAAACTTGCTCCATTGCTGTGTCTTTTGTGAGGGTACCCTTTTCGGGGTTGATGCACAGGGAAATCACAAGGAGAACAACCCATTTCAGAGGCTCCCAAGATGCCCTGGAATAAGACCACCCTACCAACTGTCTTCTTCCTCTTTTTGCTTTCGTGTCGCGAAATGGGGAGCCCGATTGAAGGGGGAGTTTCTAGTCTGTTCTAAATACAATCTAAATGAATTGAAACCACTACATACCTAAACATCCCCAAAAAAAGCAATATCCCAAAACCTCTAAATAGCTTGAAACAGCTCTACATTATATCCAAATAACGCAGAATAACCTAAATACTAGGTCACCCGCTCGTTTGATCATCCCGGAAATCCCAGCCAGCTGCATCACAAAAGGACGCTTGCCCGCCCTCTGCTTCTGAGCATCGGCACTGCAAGCTCTGCACACTTCACCTTGGACGGGAGAAATCCGGGGTCCATTGGAGTGGTTTGCATCTTATGGGGGTTCTCGTCACTTCTGTTGTATTTGCTGTGTTGATTGCTTTTGCTATGGTTGTTGGTTTGATATGAATGAGCATGAAAACAAGCTGGCAACTTGGGTGCTGATTTCGTGAAGTCTCCGAACTGCTCGGTGGGTTGGTACCCAAGATCACCTGCATGACATATGCATAGGGCGCTTCTGAACATAGGGAACCCCAAAATGAAAAAGGGACTCCTTTTAGCTTCCATTTCTTTCAATCGCCAGAAAGGGTCCTGATGACATCTCCCATTCTTCCACAGCAGTTCTAAGCAGGATGTGCAAAAGCAAGGGCGCCTTTCTTGTTGGTTGGCCACTAGGAGGGGCTCAAGCTCTTCAAAAGCGACAAAGCGACCCTCAAGACTCAAAATGTGTGGCTCCCTTTTTCGCTGCCCCGTTTACAGCTGATGCCAAAACACAGTTACATGGCACAGCCATGGATGGACAAAGCCTAAGTTTGGGAGAACTCTATGTGTATCGTATTTATATCATGTCGGAGAGATTCACTGAAGACGGTAGCCCTGCTGCCAGCATCAGACTCTTCGAAGCAAAATCGGCAAAACATATCTCAGCCTTGGCTCCTTTTGGGAAAATAGGGGAAACAAACAATGTACTAATTTGGCCATGCAACGCGAACCCCACACCTGTGGCTTTCCTTCTGCTTGGGCACCAGCCTCGAAAGGAGACGGTACCCCTGAAAAGCGTAGAGGCATGGAGGGAACCCCCCCGAAATAGTGGTTCTCATTTTTCCTTTGAAACCACGAACAAACAAGTTTTCCTCCAAACAAACACACGTTTCATTTTTCCTTTGAAACCACAATGACAGGGATCCTTACATTACCCTTACATTATACGCCTGAACATTGCCTTGTAAATGGTGGCTTCCCTTTATTTTGGTGGAAAAAGCCATGTTTCAAATGGGCAACATGTATCTTTTAAGGAGCCCTGCACAAGCAAAAGGTTTTCCTCAAACAAACACTCACACACCCATTTGTCGCCGCACACGTCCCAGTTGCTGGCTGGAATAGTGGCGTGCGACAGCGCAGCGCCGGCGCCAGGTGACTTGAAGCAGCGAAAGACAGCGCGCGCGACGCGCGGTCCACGCGCGCGGGCTCGGTTTGCGTCGCCATGGGGGGGGTGGGAGGGGGGGGAGGGGGGGAGGAGGGGGGGGGGGGGGGATTTTGGGGGAGGGGGGCAGGGGGGGAGAAGCCCCTAAATGCCCTGAACATCTGAACATGACGTGTTGTGCTTGTTCCATATTCTGTAAAGCTTAACGAAAGTAGAACGCTGTGCTGTCAAAAGAGGTCCCGAGTGTGGGGTGCAAACATCAATGGCATAAAAAAGCTTAAACATTTGGTGCGTGAAATGTGGGATGTGTTCCACTCATGGGCACTATATGGGTCTATATATATATATAGAGATATTCTCTGTTGATTGACACCATTTCGCTTTGATCCGCAAACTGATGGCGAGTTAATGGCGAACGGCAAGTCATACTCAATCACTCACTGTTTGAGTGCATTGGCCGAACAAAGTCCAAACTTGTTGCTAGACAATACAAACAGCGACCAAACTCCAGGAACTCAGGAAGAAAGATCATCAACTCACCCCCCCTGAAAGTGCATGAGAATAACAAAGGTAGAAACCACCCCAAACAACGATTGGCCTTGGGCCCTACTTCGGGCCAAAACTGATCATCGCCCACCAACCACTTTTTGGATGGTTCCCCTTTAGAGAAACATGAGCAGAACTCAAAACAAGAAAAGCCTGAAAACTTGATCCAACAACGGTGAAGAATCCTTGTGGCGGTCTTAGGATGGTCGGGTCCCGCAAGTCGGATAAAAGGTACGCCAACAAAAGCTGTCGGGCCCAGAAAGCAGCATTCACACGCTTCAGACAATGGTCCCTCAAAACGCTACCCTTCAGTAAAACCATCTGAAACCCTTTGAGCAACAGCTGGACAAATCCTTCAGAATTGTTTTAGCCAATGCTCAAACAATACATGTGTTTCCGCTATTATGTGCATAATATGTCATATATGTATATGATTCTGTCAGGCTTCCCTCGTTTGGGCACAACCCAAACCACAAACTATATATGTGTATATGTGTATACACACATATATATATATATATATATTTGTGTATGTATCGATATATCATATGTACACACAAACATTCATGACCATAGGATAGCATAGCTGACCTTGTGGAAACATAGATGGCCCTGGTATCGGCGGCATAAAAACACCCGAAACCAGTGGAACCCATCCATTTCTATCCAAACCAACCGATAAAAGGGACAGCTCCGTGCATTCGCCCCACCTGGCGCTGGCTGGATCTCGTCGGCATCTTTGGCACGACTCATGCACAGGCAGCACCTGGGGCTCCACATCCAAAGCGATGGGGGTTGGTTGTTTTGAGGCGAAATGGACCTGACAGCATAGGTGTCCTTTTTGGGAAAATAGATGGCCCTGGTAGTTGATTGAACTACCAGGTAAACCAGGGCCCTCTATTGTTCAACCAAATCAACCAAAAAGGACACCTATGCCCGACAGAACTAGCCCAGGCGATGTGGTATTGCCAAGCAAAATCATGGCGGGTGACCCCCCTTCTTTAAGGGTCGAGGGTCCAGGTACCTTTCGGTCGAAGAAGCCAAAAGAGGAACCACCTGTTTTACAGGGTGCTTCTTCGGAGACAAACCCAGGAATCCCCACCCGCCCGGCGCAGTCCCAGAAAGGCCCTGGGCATCACTTTGGGACCGAAGGGGATATGAGTATTCTCAGTTGCCCCAGTTCGGAAAGGTGATCACCCTTCGGGCCACTACAAATGGGTACGAAAACTGGAAAATCCAAAGGTCAAAAGGTCAATTCGCTTTGGGCAACGCAGTATTTTATCACATTGGGTGTTGCTTGAAATCACACGAGCCTAAAACCCTAGCGTTCCCCTAAACCCCAACCTTGAACAACCATGATCCCCCCCAACCCCAACGAGTCAAGCGGCACTCACAGTCGGCGGTTCGCCTTCGAAATCTGGCTGGGAGGGAACCCATTGGCCTTCACTTGCCACGGCTTGGTGCGGCTCATGGCTCGTGCCGGGAGAAATCATGGCGCCTGGGGAGGGGTTTTGGGGTTTTGGGGGAGGGAGCGTAGCTCTTGAGCCCTTGCTTCCCCCCGCCCCATGATTGTACTTGGGTGTTCGGCCAAGCTAAAAACACATCGTAACCGCTCGGCTAGAACTCACTGGTTCAACCATGGTTTCAGAGTGGTGCAGGATTTCGTCCATCCCCAGTTCCAGGCAATTCTCCAACCGGACAGCCGGACAGAATCCGCGGGCAATGGATCTTCACGGAATAAGTTCGCGCGGGGTAGCTCATAGGCCCTTCCTCATGATAAAGGCCTCCCAGTCAGATGTTTGTTTTCCACTGTCCAGGGGTGCTTGTACAGACCCCTTTTACATACCCCTTGGACAAATGGACCCAAAAGGCCTGCTGATGTTCATACCCCTCTCCCCAAAAAGGGGTTTATATACCCCGTATAAAGTGGGTTGGAAACCACGGAAGCCAAGGGGTATGAACAAGGGGAATGTACTTTCACCATTAGACACTGCAGAATGATAGTCCGCAGATCTATAAACCTGCTCTATTAATACAAGGTGTTCCCTCCCAAAACTGGGGACCCCCGACCAATAAAACTCATCTTTGCCAGGCAGTCTGCTTTTAATTGGAGAGGCATCCTCCGGTATTTGGGAGTAGGCATTCGAATGTGTGCAAATCTAGGTACTCTGAAGAGTCGACCCCTGACAATTGGGCATGTTGTTGAGTTTGATAACCTTTTCAAGTAGACGAAGGAAACCGAAGGAACTTGACGAACCCAAGAACAGCCGGAGCGGAACATACCCCCTGAGAGATACGCCTGAACCTTGTCCGTGCCCATGAACAAGGTAGGACACCTAAATGTCCCTTTGGTTCCCCTTTCCACCTCCCAAAAAGAGTGTTCTGTCCGAAAAAGTAACCAGACCATTTTCCGCAGGCCAAAAATATCTCTACATATTTTTTAGTATAATGCCAAAGGCTGAAATAAGGATCGAAGCCCCAAGTAAAGGACCTTTATCATGCTGTTCGCTCGTTTTTCCCCCCGGATCGGCGAGCTTGCTATGCAATAGGCAGATGTATGGGCTAATTATCATGGTGGCGTGTTCCCCCGGATCGGTGAGCAGATCTATGGGCCCCTCTCGTCTTCCGGCTCAAACTAAACAAACCGATGGATCGAGCAGCCCTTCAGCCAAAGGCGCAGGCAGCTGTAAAGACAGCTGCCGCATCGTCTGCAGCAGGCCACAAAGGGCCTGCGCCCCCAACGCTTTCCCAGCCCTCTGGGGACACTGAAAAATGTGTTGCTTCGTTTATGTCACAACTTGTGTACCTTAAAGTAGATAGACCCCAGAATCTAGGGGAGTTGAAGAAATACACACCTTCTTCCCTATGATTGTGACAAAATTTGGTCTAACAGCGCCCCACCCCATTACAATTGTTGAGGCCTCATGACATCCCTTTGCAGATTGTTCAAGTGACCAAAAGAGCAAATCTATGCTTCCATTTGCTTAAGTCCCTGGAAAAAAAGAAACATATTTCCAGTAGTGATAGATTCCCTTGAAAACCAACAAGGGAAAACAAACGCAAATATTCATTTCAGCTAATGGAAGTATGGCAGCACGGGCCAAACTCAAATGATGGAAAATACGTGCTCAAAAACCCATTGCGACCCCAGACATTGGCTGCTTGGAGTGGGCATCACCACAGTTCTGAATGGCTTGCTGAGACTTTGGTTGTCTCATCTCCTTGTTTTACACGTTGCTTGCAACGCCCCCTCTGCAAAAAGTGCTTCACGTTTTGTGGCTCAGTGGAAACCCCCAAATGATTTCCCAAGAAGTTAAAGTCGAAAGATCCAACCCAATAGTACTACCAGTAGATGAGGGTTGATGTTAACCTTCGCTGATGCGCACAAACTCGCCGGTCGACACGAAACGGGAGCGAACCGGTGGGCAGGTTTAACCAGGGTTCGGAGAAAGCCCGAGTTGGTCTGGAAACATCGGGAGGCCAAAGAAAAGTTGGATTAGCCATTACTTGACTCACTTCCTGAGTGGATTGGCCCCCAACAGTCCAAACTTGTCGCTGGCCACTAAAATGGTTTTTCCAAAAAGATTGCAGCCAAAGAACTCAGGAAGTGAGTTCATCAAAAGAGCACCTGTAAGACAAAAAAGTGAAGGTTTAGCCACGTCTGGCGCTGAATACTCAAGGTTTCTGGACAAAATATTACTTCTGTTCAGGGAAAGCAACAGGACGAGTTGCATGGATGTGCCGGGATTCCTTATTACCAGGGGAACCCCAAAGTCAATGCTTCTTGGGATTTAACAACAAACTTGGTGATGCAGGGCTGCTCCTAGCTTTTGTTGGGTGTGCCCAACTTTTGAGGAAGCAAACCCGTAAACAACGGTAATGGCTTCCAGAGGGAGAGGGTGCAACCGTAAACTATACGTATGTAACGGGAAAAAGTCAGTGCCTGACACTTCCGCAGTCTTCAAAAGGGACAGCACCCATTGAATGTCCCTTAACACAAGCCCCAAAAGAGCCCTCCGCCCCAACCCAAAAATCAAAACAACGTAACGTTCAAAAGCTTTCAAGGAGTATCGAGCCTCAGCCCCAGGAGAAAAAAAAAAACAATCGTCTTCAGCTTGGTCCTTGTGTTGAGGTTTGCTTGGCACACATTTGTGCGGTACATAGAAAATCAACATGTCAGATTTGGTTGCGTATTCAGTCTACCGTATACATATATATATATATATATGTATATATATATATTATACATAATAGTTTTGTCTGAGACCCTGTCCTGTTTGAGGGTTTAGTCAATGACGAATGGATGAACCACTTGGCCTTCAACAAAAACCCAGCGTCAATATTCAGCAGGTTTCCGGAATTGGCCAAGGAACTTGGAGACTTGTCCCATTGCTTTCATGCCGCTTCGGTGAGCCTTCACTAATTTGCGGATCAGAGCAGCTTTAAACCAGCATTGGCTAAACAACCTCCTCTAAGTCCTCCAGTACAGAGGTTAGAATAAGGGTACCCTTTTTTCTGTCGTCTATAATAGTAGGGGAACCCTCTCCCAAAAGGGCACTACTGGGGGACCCTGTGCTTTTCTCGAGCATGTCAAAACCTGTATTGTTTGGACAACGACGAATTTCTGCACTGCCTCGAGAAGTAGCGCAGAAAAAGCGCAAAGGCGCCCAACGCGAACTGAAGCAAGACCACATCCACCTGAAAAGACGCCAAACTTGTCTTGGAGAACAGCTCACTGTGTGATCGTCCATCTGCAGAAGCGGCAATTCTAGGGGTTGATTCCCCATTCTTTTCAGCCATCGTTCTGTTGAAAAACCAGCCATTTCCCCAGGGTTCTTCATGGTTTTCTACAAACAAAAACCCTGGAAAGAATGGTGAAGTTACCCCCAGAGCAATGGTTGTTGTGCAGACTGTCAGACTGGAGGGGATCCCAATAGTTCCACTCCGTGCTCCATAGTGCCATAGTGGAAATACCACCAATGGAAACCATCTGGCACAACCCTATCCCAAATGGCCTGTGGTTGTTCACCCTTACAAACAATTCATGTGACGCCCATGTTATGATATCTGGTCGGCACTTCAGATATGTTTCTCCTAAGCAACAATACGAATTCCAAAGCCTTGTACCTCTGCATTCTTGCACCCCAACACGAGTGGTTATCCTTTGGCTTTCGTCCAGCTCCCTTTCTCAACAGTTGGTGCCCTCCTTCCAGTGGCTTCTTTCTGATCGCTTGCAATCCGGGCGCAAGTCCGGCACAATTCACCAGCCCATGTTTGGTTCTACGCGGCTGAAAGGCCAATTTTCGGGCCTTACAAGTCCCCTCCTTATCTAAGCCTCCAAGCCTCGGAATGCGGGGGCCTAGGAACCTGGGTTTGGCCAAAGGCGTTTGGTTCACCCACACTCTCAACGTGTTTCAACTTATGCAATCAGACATGGCCTCCCATCCTTGCTGACTGAAAACACTCGTACCCGAGAACAGAACATATAAACGTTAAACGGTGCGAGTATCTCAGCGCGAGAAGCCACTGTCACAAGCGAATTGAAGCCCTGCAAGCACATCCCCATACAGAGTGCTTGGTGTCTGCATTGCTGCAAGAGTGTTTCACAATTCCCCGAAGGGAAATATGATATACTACAACAACTGAAAACCTATCAGTGAAGGTCATGAACCCCGCTTTGCCCTGGGAGTAGCGCTTTGGGTAGTGGAAACCGTCTGAGTCAGTGCCAAGTTTCGATCCATTGGAGCGCTTCAAAAGAATGCCCAACAGCGCAAGTCGAAGAGGGTTGGGCCAAACAGAGTTCCTGAAAGACCCGCAAAAATGAACATATCGGTCAAAGGGATCTATTTAGAAATGACTTGGGCTCCAGCCGATCACAATGCCTGAATTGCCACTTAGAGCACACACACACACACACACACGCACCGCTCGCTCGCTGAGTAGCATCGAACACGCCTGGCTCATGGTCTCATGGCGTCATGAGTGAGTCAACCATCAGTGTGGCCCACATCTGGGGTACGCAGAAAGTCATAAGTCCTTACTCTGATTCATATTTGGTCTGCCCTAACAAATACAATACGTTTACGGAAGAGACCTCAGAATGCATAGTCCAAGTGACTCCAGTTCCACGGTAGGTAACCCGGGGACTACTCAAGTAGACGGAAACTTGGAGCGTTGCCTGCAGTGAGTAAGAATCAGTTAGGAGTGACTCGACAGGGATCCACTTGTCTATGCCCTGGATGTTACCCTCCAGGCTTTTGGACAGCCCTATAGTCTAAGCATGATTCGCCTGCATGCCTATAGAACAAAGCGCGTGACCCAAGCACAAATGACCCGGAGGTTGTAGTCCTTGAGCTTCTCTTTTGAACTTTGTCATTTTTCTGAAGGAACCATGCGTAACCCCATGATTGGTGGTTTTTGAGGGAAACCAAGAGGGCAAGCCACCATGTTGGGGTTCCAACCTGAAAAAAGACACCCCCCATATCAAGATCGCCCACTTTGAGCGCTTGAGCCGCATTTGGGCGGACCATGGAACCGACAAATCCAAAACGGTTTGCTTCAGGAAAGAGGCCCACCCAACAACGCGCGAACGACCCGTCCATAGAAAATCGGGCGGCCGCGCCCTGAGCAACTTGCGACAACCAACATTGGTCACAATGACCCCCAAAGTTGTGGGCATGCCAAACATGTTTATGGTACAGTTTGTTTGACAAAGATGGGTGCAGATGTGCAAGCTCGATCTTCAGAGATAACATATGCACGGCGATTGCCAGCAACATGCACTCACAAATATTCCCAAGATGGTCCAAGATTCCCAAAGCTCCACATACTTGTCCCCTTCACATATCACTCCACCCGATGTTCAACCGCCTGACAGGTGATGCATGTCCAAAACGTAGACATCCAAGGAACTCCATGTAGAAGGAAGCATTTGATCAATCCGGCCGAAATGATCATGGGGATTCACCCCATCCTCAAAAACCACACCATCAATATGGAGAAGGTGTGATGTCTTTTGGGTTGTTCTGAATGTAAAGCCACGGGGAAACCGTCCGCAGAGACAACCCAGAACACCCTAGGAGCCCAGGACAATCAAAGGCCTTGTCGTCGCGGGTACTTGGACGCTAGTGCTGGCCACTCGGGGTATCACCCCTCAATAACAAGGTCACTTGCGGAAAAAACAAATATAGGTCAGTGTTGAACAGTTGAATATCATATTCAATCAGTAAACACCATGCACGCAATCATAATGTGAAAAGGATAAGGTGAAAGTCGAGCTCGAATAAAGTCGTCTTCGGTGACCAAAGAGAGTTTTACATCGAAACAGCAACAATCACAATCAGCACCCCCCTAGCAACTGCTAAAGTACTTTGCGTTTCGGAGATGGACAAAAGCAGTTCTTGGGCCCTGGGTGTTGGAAGAATATGAAACCTGGGCGCTCAACTGACCAACTGACCCCCCCCCTCCCGCCCCCCGTTTTCGCGCTCCTTTTTCGCGTCTTTCGGCGACTCAGCGCCCAGAGCCGCGCAGCGGCCTGCGCCGAGCGTGGTCGATTCGCCAAGCTCGGTGCAACGGAGGCCCAGTGGATCCCAGGAATCCGTTTCGCCCTTATATCCGTTCGCAGCACCTGAGAAACCCTGGAATGATGAGTTCCCAGTGAATACCAAGAAACAATGGTTTCCCACGGTTCGTCCATCCACAGTATTTTCCTTTTGCTTCTCAAGGGGTGCTTCCCTTGGCTACCTGCTATGCCGGAAAATGGATCCGTGTAGAACCTGGCTAGAGTCCCCCGGCGCTTAAGGCTCACATTGGGCATGCAGAAGAGGCATAAGCTCGCCTCGAACATGGTGGTTGTGAAGCTAGAGTCTCCATGACCCCTAGAAAAAGGGGTGACCCCTTGGTTTTTTGTGGGGATTCCAACCCCATGTTTGCCATGGGTCAGAAGAAGACTTCGGGCACACCCTTGGGTTGTAACCTCCACGGCCCTGACTCCCGCGGAGCCCGTTTCGGGAACCCGGGAAACCGGAAAATGCTCTCAACTCCCCAGCCCCCCGGAACTAACGCCACCGCCCGATATTCCACTACCTGGAGTCTCCATACCATTAAGAAATGGGGTCATTGCCCAAAATTCCGGGGTCATGGACCCATTTTTGAAGGGTCATGGAGACTCTAGGTACACCCATCCAGAAAGCGGTTCGGATGCGAAAACGCTGACTCAGCCAACACAGGGGCCACGTCCGCCAACGCACGATGTTGCACGCAAAGGGGTTCAGGTCCCGTTCGGTTTAGAGCTGCGCATCAGGATTTTACTTCGATAACAGGGGCTTGCTTCCATCCGTACTTTGGATGGACGAAATCCGTTCGCACCATTTATGACAACCTGGAAGGATGATTCCCTTGTAATTACCGTTCCCATGGTTTTTAGGTGGTGCGAAATGGATTTCGTCCATCCGCAGTATGGTTGTGACCTACTAAGTAGTTTGAACGTTCAAAAAACAAAACTCCTGTTGTATCTCCTCTCAAACCTCTTTACGCCCGGCAAGCAACGCCCGAGCAAAAGCTGGGGGAAGAGTGGTTAGAGCTGTGAGATTGATAGCATGAAAACTGAAACCCTTCCTGTATAAACGTGGAGTCAATATGTAGCTATACGCATACATGATTGTAGACATGAATGTAGTTGCGTATATTCATGTTTCAGTCCAGGCAAGGATTTGCGCGCAGCCGCGCAATTCCTTTTTTCTGGCCACATTCTTTGGAATCAAACATCGGTCAGTGAACGACGCACTGAGATCCTTCAAATATCTGAAACTCCGAAGATCCCGCGTCTATTCCTCCATCTCGCTCTGAAGCTTCCAGCCGCCGCGCTTCTGGCGCAGTAGCATCTTGCCTTTGCACTGCTCCGGCATCTCCCTGATGGGGTCGCCAGTGTCATAGGGGGAGTAAATGATGCCCTCCGAGTAGTGGTCGTACTTGATCGTCTTCGCCCTGGCCCACCACCTTAGTTGCCCAAAAGAAAGAAGAAAAACGGTGATCGCTTTTTGGGGCCATAAATATGTTTGCCAACATGGAAGATCAAAGATCGATGTGCTTTGGAGAAGTGAGCCACTCCTCCGATGCCACTCCTGGGATGAGCTCCCAGCGATACATCACCGGCACGATGTTGTACGCAGCCCATAGGCCCCCAAGACCACCTAGCACGGGCGCTAGCTTGTCCATGGCCTTTCGCGCAGTGACCTGAGAACTGGCTGCGACTGGCTGCAACCCGAGAAATGGCTGCGAGTATAGGCCAACATACCAATGACCATCTATGTGTTAAGTCATATATGGTCATATTGCATTGCAATGTGCAGGTTTCTCGGTTCCTATGCTGTTTCCATCCTGGTTGTGAAAGATCATGTCAAGTGTACCGGGAATCGGCATGTCAAAAGAATTGAGTGGACACTAGTGAACCCTGCAATGAAGATACACACTGGGTACATGATGGCTAACCGTGAGAAAAGCCTACCTCCTAGCAACCACTCAAAACTGAAACACCTGATAGGGTCTCCAAAACGCCAGCTCTGAGACGGAGACGCTCCATGTGCCAGCCAAAAGATGGAACCATTGTTGTAATGTTCAAATTGACCCGAAAAGGGAGGGACAAGGCATGCAAAGGCAGGGGTTCGCAGTGGTTGTGTGCTTGGACATCTGAGCTGCTTTGGCGCGGGAAAAGAGGAAGAAAAACAAACATCCACAACGCCTCCAGATTCTCCTAAGGTGACCATGCTGGCCCATGGAATAAGACCACTCTAGTGAAACCCATCTATTCACCAAACTTTACTAACACCTGTGGTTCAGAATCTCTGGCTTTGTTGCCTGCGAACCTAACCCACTCGGAAAACTTCTGCTCACATAAATGTAACCACCTGTTCGCCGGAGTGCTTTGGGTGTTTCCAACAGACCACCAAATTAGTTGCCTTGCGTTATCTTTCCCTTGAAGCACATCCCAGAAGCGAATCCACATGGGAAACATCCAGGTTGTGGGGGTCTCGAAGCTGTTGCGGAGTCAAAGGATCGAAAGTGTTTTAAAAGTCCGCGCAATGATGTGCTGGTGTTCATCCAGTCACTAAACAACTCAATACCCTCCCACCAATTAAACATGGAACCTGACGTTTGCGGGGTCCTTGAAGACCATTTTCCTTTCAAAGGGGCTCCCTGTCAGTTTCCATGTTGATTGGTGGGAGGGTACAGCAAATACAAACCACGCTAAACACACACAGCCAACAAACAAACAAACAAACAAACAAACAAAAACAAACAATCAAAGACACAAACACACAAAGAAACAGATGGAAGGACAAAGGGAACCAAAACCAAAGAAATAATTACACATGAAGCATAAGAAGTACTGTGGATGGACGAAATCCTGCGCTACCAAAAAAATCTGGAATGCAGATTCCCCAGTAAATACCAACAAACACTGGTTTCCCGTGGTTCAAAGCGGTGCGAACGGATTTCGTCCATCTACAGTATCAACCATCGAGCAAGAACCAAATCAGGCAACACTTCTAGGGGTTGATTCCCCGTTCCTTTTCACCATCATTCTTTTCAAAAACCGATCGCTGTGTCCCCTGAATTCGGTTCTGATGGCTTTCTTAAAAGAAATTCGGATCCCTATGGGGAGTCCACACTCAGCAACCCAAAGCTCAAAGCCCAAAGCCCCGAACCCGCCTTCCGAAGCTTCCGGTGGCGCCTTGGTTTTTGCTCTCGAGCAAGTGGCGGCCTGGCTGCGGGGAAAAAAAACAAAAACCAAAAAAAACACTGGCTGCGGACAAAAAACACCCACACACCCACCTGGAGTCTCCTTGAAACTTTGAAAGTGGGTGGCAATGTAATGCACCATCATGATTACCTTCAGTGCAAAGGGTTTCACTTCCTGAGTGGGTTGGCCAAAGCAAACCTGAACTTGAACTGTTTCTTTGCCGCCGAAAAGGTCTAAACCCGAAAGATCCCGAACAGTATGCAGCCCAGGAACCCATTAAACACTGTCAGCAATGTATATACATGTACTCTATATTGGCTGTACAATGTACCCATAATTCCCTACACCAGAAACCGCTGGTTATGTGTCTGGTGTACTAATGACGATGCACTTCAAATGGTCAGTCCGCAATTGAGTCACAATCAAAACCTGGCACTAAAGGGTCTACCCGAACCAACATCAAGACTTGAAAGGGTGGCTGCAGCTATTCATGGTTGGGAGTATCCCTTACTATCCTCAGTCTACCCGGTTTGTGGGGGCTGCTCAATCGGAAAGAAATCTTCAAATGGGGACAAATCGAGTTCCTCTTACCTCTGCCCCGCAAGCTCATGGGCCGGGGAAATTGATGCGACGAATTTAGGGCACCCACCCGTTGAAAAAAGAATAGGGCACCTGCGAATCTCAAAAGAAACTTGGGGCACCGTGAACTGTGAACCTCAAAGCACACTTAGGGAATCTGTAAACCTCAAAATAAACTTAGGGCACCTAACGCAATTGAACTTGGCATGGCCAACTTGATACAGAGCCAAACAGTCTCTGTAAAATAAAACGCCTTGGCACTGAACAACCCAATCGACCGTAGAGCAACTTGCATGTGCTTTAATTGAGGTTACCCTATGTTGGTTGGGCTTGAAAGCTTTCAGATCTTAAGACACACTCTCATTTCTCCGGTTCTGTGGCAGTTGGGCCCAACACGAGCTTAAGGACAACTGAAACAGCGCCTGGCGTTTTGCTTTGGCCGGGGATTTGAAACCTGACCCTGTGCTTCCAGTTTCTACTACTATATTTTACAAACCTTGGTATGGTAGCGCAAAGCGTTGTTTTTGCAGCCCCTTTCTGAATATGAACAGAACCACACAAAAAGCCACCAACGGTAAGGAATAGAAACCAGGTATGGCCACCTCTAGGCTTTGCATCGGGGTTTCCCCTCTCGCTTCCTCGCTTCCTTGCTTCCTCGCTGCCTCGCTTCCTCGCTTCCTCGCTTCCTTGCTTCATGTCTTTCCTTGCTCGCCTCCTCGCTTCCTCGCTTCCTGGCTTCCTTGCTTCATGTCTTTGCTTGCTTCCTTCCCTTCCATCCTTGCTTGTTTTCGTCCTTCCTTGCTTGCTTGTTTTCTTGCTTGCTTGCCTCGTTCCTTCCTTGCCTTCTTCCTTTCTTCCTCGCTTCCTGGCTTCCTTCCTTCCTTGCTTCATGTCTTTCCTTGCTTCCTTCGTTCCTTCCTTGCTTCCTGTTTTCGTCCTTGCTTGCTTTCGTCCTTTCTTCCTTGCTTTCTTGCTTTCTTGCTTCCTTGCACCTTTTTGGGTGGTGATTTAGAAGCAAAACAGGTTAAACCCCACTATGTTGGAAGTTCTCCCGTATTGAGACACACCTACATATGTTGAACAATCTCGAATGCCAATGTCACAAGCATGTAATGGCGCCCCCGCAAGCACTGCCCCGTCCAACCCCAGTGAAGCGACCCAATGTTCTAGGGCTCTGGAGCGTCATGGAACAGTGCGAGTGACAATAATCGGGTGTGTCCTTTTTTGAGGATACCCCATGTTGGTGGCTTTAAAGGGAAACGCAAAGGAGCACCCACCATTTTGGCGGGGGGTGGGGGAGCCCCAAAGAAGCAGTTTGTGGAATAGTTTCGGGCCCTACCAACCTTGGCCAAATTGCCCAACTGCCTTCACACATCGTGCTCCGTCACAGCACGCCACACCAACGTGGTCTGCTCATAGCAAGAGTCTCGTCAACCAATTGGTCTGTACTTTGTCCATGTGACTCCATCTGTGGGAAACCACCAAGAAAGCGTTAAATGCTTTATCTGTATGGTAGGAAAGGGAAAACAACCATTTCAAGAGCCAGGAACATGGTGACATACAAGGCCTCGGATCAGGGCTGAATGTGTTTTTGATTTGTCCAGAACTTGAGCCGCCAGAGTCAAACACGCGCGCGCTTGTCAAGACCGATGGGCGCTTACTAACAAATTCAATACATGGCTGTGAATCAAAATCCGGTACCCGCAGTGAACATCCCAATCCCCACTAAAATAGACTAAAATGGGTGGTGCACCGACACCAAAATGGTACCATTGGTTTTGCAGCCACATCTGTCATTCAACAAGGACTCAAGCGGAAAAACGCATGCACATGTTGGCAAAGAATCTGAGCAATTGACGCAACGGCTATCCACTCAATGTGTTCAAGCTTCTAGCAACAATCTAAATGGTGTCCACAAGCACTACTGCCAGTTCAAGCTCAGTTGATGCTGCGGCCAACTGGAAAGGTCCGTTCTGCCAAAATGAAGGCGGCCCATCTATGTGTACCAAAAATCTCCTAACACCAGAACAATGGTTGGTGACTCCAAAGTTGTGGGACACCAACCATCCCGTGTCGTGGGCACTTCAGGTAGAGAAACATGTTCGTGCACTTTAGGGGCACCTGGTAGGAACCGGTTGAGCAAGTTTGCAAGGAAGTATCTCGAATCTCACGTATTGCTTGATTCAACGTATGAAAGGCTAGCAACATGATCCGTCCTGACTCGAGTTTGACATCTGGAGAAAAGAACTCAAGTTTCGAAGGAACTCACGTTGCATATCGGCTTGACAAATGTCCAGAGACCATCTGGGTGAATTCACCCTGGAACAGAAACCATCTGTCTCAAACTGGGGGAGCTGTTCAACAGGGTGGTTCCGATTCCTTTAGATTGATTCCTCACTTCCTGAGTGCAAGTCCAAACTCTTGAGTGCCACTAAGATTGTTTTCCCACGTCTTGAGCTCGGGAACTCAAGGAGTGAGACCTTTGCTTTGAACAAACCACCAATAAGAAAAACAAAAACAGGTATCCTCAAAAAACACACACCCATAAAGAAGCTACAGATTGTCTAATTCGGAATGCATGCTGTATCAGGCCTGGGATGTATGCAGTCCTCAGTGTCCTCTTTTGATATCGTTTTGGTGCTTGGCTTCAAGGGAACCCCTGCAAAAACAACCATGTCGCAGCTCCCCCCCCAAATACCAGAAGGCACCCTTGCATTCGGGTGTGTTTTGTGAGGCTCGCTATTCGGGTTGTAAAAAGAAAGAAACAACCCAGTTTTGGGGTATCCCCCATTTTGACAAGGGCTTGGTTAGCTAAGTCCACTTTAGAGAACCCACCCAACCAACGAAAACTGATTGATGAGCGCCGACAAACACAAAAGGGGCTGCAAAAAGCCGTCACCGCTTCTTTCTGGTTTTGTTGGTTGGCTGGCTGGTGGGTGCGTTGTTGGTTGGTGGGTGGGTGGGTGGGTGGGTGGGTGGGTGGGTGGGTGGGTGGGTGGGTGGGTGGGTGGGTGGGTGGGTGGGTGGGTGGGTGGTGGGTGGGTGGGTGGTGGGTGGGTGGGTGGGTGGGTGGGTGGGTGGGTGGGTGGGTGGGTGGGTGGGTGGGTGGGTGGTTGGTTGGTTGGTTGGTTGGTTGGTTGGTTGGTTGGTTGGTTGGTTGGTTGGTTGGTTGGTTAGTTGTGGTTGGTGGGTAGGTGGGTTGGTGGGTTGGTGGGTAGGTGGGTAGGTGGGCAGGTGGGTAGGTGGGTAGGTGGGTAGGTGGGTAGCTGGGTAAGTGGGTGGGTGGGTGGGTGGGTTGGTTAGTTGGTTGGCTTCTTGGCTCGGCTTTTCGCTGGTCCGGTAAAAGACAACGGGGAGTTGGTCTCCTTGGGTGGTGGATCCCGCACATAGCGGGGACCGCGGCATGCTCGACCAAAAGACAACTCATTTGAAGGGGCAACTGAAAGGTGATGGTCAAATCATCCCAAAAGAACAAAGGCTTTTCATGCCCTGTTTCTCGGGGGGCAAGCCCGTTGCGATCACAAACTGGAAAGCAACTCGGAGCCCAAACCACCGCTGGAGCATCCCACCTATCCACCTACCCACCCACCCACCCACCCACCCAGTCTTCTTCATCCGGGCGTATACTCGAAGCGTCTCGCCGCATGCCGCAGCCGCTGATCCGCGCTTTTCAGGGGCCGGAAGAGGGCGAGGCTCTTCACCACCATCTCCAGACGCGCATAGTTTTGGATCTCCTGGGCGCAAAACAACGGGACACTACCATTTGGCCATGGGTCAAAACCCAAATCGTACCCCCAGTGAACCTCCCAATCCCCACTACAATAGAGTGGTGCACCTAGCCCAAAATATTTTGACCCACGGCCATTTGGGCTTGAGTACTGTTTTTGTGGAACCTATCAAACAAAGGGGATGTGGAGGGTGCCGCTGAACAACTCGGTTAAAGTGCCTGATAGGGTTTGCGCCTTTCGAAGACCCTGCAAAGTATGAACATGTTTTACCTCGAGTCTTGGATCTAGTACAGGAAGCGGGGCTCCTATTCATCGGGTATCCTTTTGGAGAAAATGGCATGTGCATGTGTACATGATTTGAGACAAACTGAAGTTAGTGCCATCTGGGTGTGTCTTTTGTTGATGGTGCATGAGATGGTACCTGTGTGGCGATTTAAAGGAAAATCAACGGGAAAACCACCATTGCTAGTATTGTCCTTTCTTTTTTGGGGGGAGGGGGTTAGATAAAGACACACCCGTCTAGATTCAGCCAATCTTATAAAAGGACACCAATGGCTCGAAATAGAATTCCCGCCCTGCCTCTTTATTGAAAAACAAGCCCAAGCCGTGCAAGTACTGTGGACGAAATCCATTTCGCAACGCTTTGAAACCATTGTTGGTTGGTATTTGCAGGGGGACAAACAAAAACAAGGGCTTCTTAGCTGGCGCAAAAAGGATGTCGTCCCTCCACCGTATCTTAGCCACCCAGGTCCGGGGATGCACGCCCCATGCTGAAACGGGGTCTTTGAACACTGACTTTGGAGCCCCAAGGTCCATCATCGGACCCGGGAAATGACTCTCATACCTTTGTCTTGGCCTGTCGTTTGTTACAGGGGTCCTTATCCAAAAAGGGTTTCCACGAAGGACAGACCCAGTTCACACCGAAGGAATCCCGCGACCTTCATCGTTCCCTCGCTTTATCCTAATTGGACTCTCCATTGGTCAGGATCGCCATTGGGTTTGGACCAAACCCAACTCGAGTTTCGAGGCAAAAGCGTTTGGGCCGAAAACCGGGATCATTGGATTTCCCCACTTCAAAAGTTGGAATTTACCAGTGTCCATTGAAACTGCCACTTTTGGAGGTTCCAAAAAGGGACATGAAGGAAACCCTGAAGAAACCCACTGCTCAGGACATACCTTTCTGTTTTCACTGAATGGACCTCAGGGGCTCTGCCTGATGCGCGCTTCGCTTTCCTCCATCGGATACGCTCTCTATAATCAATAAAACATGTCCAGCAGTGAAAGTGTCCCTTTAAATCAACACGGAACTTTTTGCTCTAAACTTTTAAACATGTCTTTTTAAAACATAAGGGGTGCTCCCTGGGATGTAGTTTTAGCGCTGCAAAGCTCAGAAAACGCTGTGAATACCATGGTTTCGTGCATGTGGCGGCGCTCGGTCTCTTTTAAAACCAGCAGGGGAATTTGGTTTAAACAACATATTTGTTTCAGCAATTGGAAGTTTTGGTCTCGCCTCGTAGCCGCGCCCATCCTGCCAGTCGTGCACCAGCACCAAGCCATTGGGCTTCCTCGACGGCGCGTTTTGCTCGACTTCTCAGTTCATGGGGGCTGGGCCTGGGGGGGGGGGTGGGAGCCTAAACAAGCGCTTACTAAGCCCTTCATAAGATGTTATGAAGTTCAGGAGAAAAAAACCCTTTCAAGTGGCCATGCAACTGCAAGACTTCATCCAATCCCAAAATCATGCCTGCGGCGAAAAAGCCGGAAGCAACAAAACGCATTTATCCTTGTGGTTCACGGTAAAGGGGGACGTCCGACTTCCTGCAACAACAAAAACCATGAAGAATTGGGCAGCACCTGCTGCCCCGTTTCCGAAAACCGAGGCCCGGAAGGCGAGAGGATCAAAGATGGTTTCCACCAGCGAAGCGACCAGGTGGCAAATAGGATAAACCACATCGCCGCTACATGTGCGTTTGTTTTGAGGGAACCCTTGTTGGGAAAATGTTTGGAAACCAAAAGGAAAGCCATCACTTTGGAGCTTTGGGGGCGGTCACCTATTTGAAGACACATCTGTATTCACTGCTGTGTCGTGGAAACCGTTTTAGAGAAGCCCCTTTGTATTGATCCATAGACCCCTTGGAGGGCTAATGAGCGGTCGATGCGATGTTTTACTTGAGAGTTTCATACCAAGGGTCCAAGAGTTCATGCAGCCAGCCTATGCTCAAGGCAAGTATCACAAAGCAGCTTGAATCCGATGTTCTGCCTTCCAATCTTTGCCCTTCCCAAACTGCCAGAGCCTCTTTTTGTCGGCGTGTGTGTTGTTTGGAGGTACCGTTAGGCGCATGCCCATGCACAAAGGGAAGTGTCTTCTTGGTAATGGAAGTGAATTTGCTCTCCGAACCAAATCGTCTGCCACCCGATCGACAGCTCCCGGAATACCCGTGTCACTGTATTCCCCACTAGCATTGCAATTTGGCAAAGTGTCGGCTCTATTGACAAAATGCAAGTTGGATTTGTGTATCCAATGATGCCCTTTTACTACAGAGAGGGTAAACATTGATCTTTGCTCCATGGGGTGTGGATTCCCAAAAAGGAATCAATGAACATCAGTGCCGAGCTGAAACTGCTACGTATGGCTCGGTCGCCCAGTTTCGACCCAAAAACCCAAGGTAAACCTTCTGGAACCTTCCGTAAATATGGACCACATCGGGGAAACCCAAAGGTCAAAAAGGTTGGGGTGGAAAACTGACTAGGTTATGCGCTCCACACACTTAGAAAACCCTTTGGATCGATGCGGCTTTCTGGATTCCACTTTGTCTTTCCTTGTGCTTCAATATCCGGGATGGATCTACAAACGCGGATCCAGACTGTTTCCTAAACAAAAGGGACAACTCAAATGGAACCCGGGGAGACTCCAAAAGACATGCATGGACCTTCCTGCATGCTCAACAAGTTCCGCCTTTTTGCTACGAATTGGGTTTTGGGGCAACTGCGCGATTTTTTGCCCGCGGCTTCTTTTGGCTCAATTTGGGTGTTAAGCGCAATCTCCCCGAACCTACAGGCGAAAATTCCCGACCAGCAGGCGAAAAATCCCGACTAACAGGCGAAGTTTTCCTCGCCCTAAAAGCCTCCACGCCAAGGACAAAAAGCACGTATTTGTTAGCCAACGCCTATTTTTGTTTGACCTCCGGGAGGTCCAGTGTTCTGTTGTTCCATGTTAAACTGCAACGGAGTACATTTGCGCGAGGGAAGAAGCAATGAAACCCCGGATTTGGCACTTTCAGGTCAGCCCCTTTTGGTTGCACAAGTAAGTTTAGACCATGGCACATATCTGGGGTCTCCTCCAAAATAGGAGCCTATTGTTGACTAGACTTAATATGGACAACTATCTGAACATATGTTTTTTGTTCGTTCGCGTACCCAGAATTGGGCAAAGGTACGACCGCCAAACCCAGCCCCTAGTTGCTCCTGTATAACAGGCAACCACCCTCAAAAAAACAAAGGGAAACAGAACACAGTACCTTGAGCGAGCGTTCTGGAAGCTAAACATGTTGAAGAATGGCATCTGGAGGCACGAGCCACAGGGTCTCCGGAGAAAAATGAAAAACCATGTATAAGCTTCCCTCTAAATTTGTGGTTTGGGTGGCGGTGGCGGCGGCGGCGGCGGCGGTGGTGGTGGTGGTGGTGGTGTGGGTCTCGAGGTGTTTTGCATTTGGTTGGACAAGTGTGAAACAAACTGGAGGAAAAACAACCAGCCCAATCGGGGGTGGTTCCAGGAGCCTGGGGGTCTGAACTGTATCTGTTCGATTGTTGTCTCGAGTTGTGTTTGCAGTTGTTGCATGTTTTCAGTTTCAGGCCTGTGTGTACGTAGTTCACATCCTTGGTACTTGGTACAGTATTTAATGTTGGCTGATTTGATGTGAAAAGAAAAGTATGTGGAAAAGGAGATCTTGTGTACCTGCCAATTTCACGTAGGAGCTTTATTATTGACAGTATATGTTGTATAGAAACTCTGAATGGAGAACATAAGGAAAAATGATAAACAAGTCCTAAGTAGAGTTCATGAGGACATAACTAGGTTGTGCTTAAAAGTTGTATGTTTTATACATAAAATTATGCTGGAAAGGAACCCAGTGTACATTTCAATTTGCCGTAGAATAGCTAAACATCGATTAAAATTGAAACTATGATTGGATCATTTCCTTATTCAATTCGATGTCTTTTCAGATAGAAATCGAGTAGAATATGATCAAGATCTCAAGTGGAATTCATAAGGACAAAATTCAAAGGTCCCAAAATCGCTTTGTTTGGCCAGCCGAAGGACTACGATGGTCAGACAACTCCGTACAACAGCGTGTTGTGCAGCGATTTTTGTACTAAAATTTCATCTCCACCAACGGCCGCTCTCCAAAGCTCAATTAGAATTTGAATAGGACCTCAATGGGGCTCAACAAGGAAATACTTGTTCTGACTCCTACTGGAAAGCATATCTTTAGCTTAGAATTTAGATAGTCCTGCTGGACATTATATGTCAAAGTCAGAATCGAGCTAGAATTCCTTTCCCGGCGGAGCTTTACAGCTGAATTAGAGTTTAGTCAATTTGACAGGGACGTAATCCAATCACTTTTCTAGAATACAACTTAAGATAGACGTATTCTACCTCGAACTTAGCATTTTCACAGGGTTTTCTTTCCAATAGAATCTCTTTATCAGTTGACATGTATTCGAACAGAGGTAAACTCGAAATTCCATTCAACCTGTGGAAAAAAAAACACGCACGCTCGCAGTGCCGAGCTCTCAAAGGCAAAGGGTTAGCTAGTGGAACCCTAGTCTGAATCCAACGCAAACGAATTGGACGCCCATCAAAATCAACAAGGGCTTCTACTTGGATCTGAGAAAAAATGGCCCAATTCCACTTTTTTAGTCCCACAAAATGGGGAAGACATTGAACCATCCAGACCCCACTGCTTTTTCAACAATCTTAAGGGTGGGGATGTGGCTTGCCTGGGCTCTGGATCAGCGGCTCTACCTAGATCCGGGGTGACGAAATGGTTTTCTAGGTCCTCCAGTAGAGAGGTTAAAACAAGGGCACCAACTTTTTTCTGTCGATTTCAGTAGCGTTGAACCCTCCAAACCAAAAAAGAAACGGTAAAAAGGGGCACCACTTGCTGGGGGACCTAGTTGTTGATCCACCAGCCGGGTCCCAAAAAACTTCCCTAGCCAAAGCTTCAGGGCTTGCAGGCTCTTGAGGGCACAGGCCACTCGGAAACGCGCGTCCACCATCACCACGTCCCAACCTGGGACGATCTGAATGCGTGTGCTACATATATATATATATATATATATATATATATGCATGTTTATTATATATATACATGGGCTTGTCATTTTTGAGGGAAACATTAATATGATGGGTTTCCGCTTGTCTTCCCTTTAAGACTTTAACACCAAGCAAAAGGGGACATCTCGAGGAAACAAAAACGGCATAATTAAAAGCAATGTGCATGTATATAAAATGCGCATGAAACTCGCCGAAGCAAGCGGAGCGGCGTTCAAAGCCCTTAGAGGTTCCCTGACTCAACTTTGCTTTGCCTTTAAGCAACCAAAAACAGGGGTGCCCTATCGCTAAATCCCACAGAGTACATTGGAAGCCATGTGAGGCGAACACTGCGAGCGAGGCCCATGCCAGTTTTTCGGGGGAAAACCATCGCCCTTTGTGATGGATGCATGGTTTCCCGAGAGCGATCAAACACGGAACCGATACCAGGGGGGAAGGACGCGCCGTGGCTACTTTTCTGTTGGGTTACCTACCAGAAACAGGGAAACCAAAGCGGCCAGTCTACAGGGAAACCTGTCCCCTCCCCTGATGAAAAAAAATGGAAACGAGTGGAATGTACAGTTGCGATTGGGTCCATTGTGCCGTATCTCAAATCTGTCCCGTTTACGGAATCCAATCGCAGAAATGGTCTATGAGTGTCCACGCGAGACAGGGGCATCGTTTGCCTAGTTGACTTTAAAGGGGCACCTGCTCGCCACACCAAAACTCGGACAACAGGACATGCCGAACAGGTCGAACTGAGGTGCCCAACCTCTCTTCAACTCAATAGTTTCTGGTGCCAAGGGAACCCCGTGGGTTGGTCGGTTGATTGTTTTGAGCGCTTCAAAAAGGACCTGAGTTTGATGCGCCAACTTGGAATAGAGTTGCAACGCCTGTCGCCAAAATCCCAGTGGTGGGTAAAATCCCGCCTATACACCTTTACGGAAAGTACGTGGCGAATGGGCTGTTTATGCTTTCAAGTCTTTTAATGGCGGGAGAGAGGGGCATGGCAGTCAGTTGTACTTTGCAAATGTTGCGTGCTGTTTTCTCCGCCGGTGACCCTAAGCGAACTGTGGCATGTTCAAGTCAATTTAGGACCCATAAAACGCGAACAGAGCTGACATTCCACTGCGTGCTCCACCCCATGACCCTGCGTGCTCCCCTGCTTTTGCGGGATATCACAGGCCGGTTGAACATGAGGTTGGCACCCGTGGGATTGGCATCCTTTGAGACATGCCAACCCCCAGAAGCTTTGTAAACGTGTTCACGAGAGACATGTGGAGTTGCGTTCAAGTTCTCAGTTGCCCCTCAGGGATTTTGTGGTAACATGGACCGAGTCAAGGACACCAACATGTTAAAAGGTTGATTCGCTTTGGGCAAGTGAGACAAGTCAATCATATCCTGTCCCGCTAATAGCTCTGATAATCACGTATTCAATCTTGTTGGAGCCGACGCCATGCTTTTATTGCCTCTAAGTAGCGACATCTCTGGAAACATCCCTTTGGGCAGGTGAGCCCTACTGATGGACGAACCCTACCTGAAGAAACCCTGGAATGATTCCCCTGGAAACACCCACCAATGGTTTCAACTTATGGTTTCAAAGTGGTGCGAACGGCTTTCGCAACCATCCACAGTATCCACAGTAGCTAAACTCGTTTCGAAGAAAATCAACTGCTCACTTCGTGCGCGGGTTGGCCAAAAAAAACAGACAAATATTTCGATTAATGTTGACCCCTATTAATCAACCCCAGTTTATGAATAGGCGGTGTGTTCCCGGCCAAAAGTGAAAAATGCCCACTAAAACCAGGGGCACCCCCATATTAATAAACAGGGGTCCAGTATTAGCGGGTGGTCATTACCGCCTGCAATGGTCCCAAAAAGTGCCTCAACTCCGAGTCCCGGACCTCGGGGAGCGAGCGAAGCCTTGCCCACCCCCCAGCCGCCTCCGCGCGGCATCTCCTCGAGCACCGCGTCGCTGAAGCGCGGCCAAGTCGAGCGAAGGCCCACGAACTCGCGCTTGGCGCAGGTCTCGTGGATGCAGCTGCCTCGCGCGTTTGGAGGGCAAACTCGAACTGCATGGACCCTCAAAAAATGCAACAAAGAAAAGGGCTGTTGCCCCAAAATGATGGGGTGATTCCTTTAAAAAAAAGTAAGCTTTTTTACGACTCGGGCTGGACCCAACCAAACTTCCAACTTAAAATTGGGTTGCAGGTATTGCTGACTGAAAGCATGCTTGAATTCACGTTTTTACGGGTAGTTTGAGGGTTCAGCTACCTGCAAAATCTTTAGGCTTCAACCTACAGTCCATACCAATGATCCTGGGGCTTGGTATGCAGAACTTCGGGGGTTCCGTACCACACCCCGAGTTGCTTCAAAAGTGGCAAAAGGACATACTTTGAGTCCCCGAATTCCATCGATCGGAGCCTTCGGGCAATTGCTTACCACAGTAATCACGAGTAAATGGCGAATTGGGGATTTCGTTTTTTGAGGATATTCTTTCTTCCGGCAGTTTTTGAGGCTTCAACTTCCATCGATCGGACCAGTAGAGATCTGTTCAAAACAAAAAACAACACCATGTATCTAGGGGTTGATTTTCCATTCTTTTCAACTATCGTTCTTTTCAATCACCAGCTGTTTCCCCAGGGTTTTTGGTGGTTGCCGGAAAAAGAAATTCCCATCCCTGAAAATGGGGAAGCTACCCCTAGAATGTTTCGAACTTCCTCGTTCGCGTCGCCTTGGTGGCCCAAGACCAGGCATCGCCTGGCGTGCGCCACGGATGGCTTCCATATGGCTTCCCTTTATTGCTGAGAGGTAGGGAATGAGTTGGAGTGAACCTGGGCTTTGGTCCCTGAAAGGAAGCAAAAGGGATGGTTTGTAGGGGTCATTCCATTTCTCATTCCCTACTGAGCACCAGCAAGTTTAACAACATAAAACAACATGAAAAATGCACTCATAAAAAAGGGAAATAACAAACACACATACTGAAACAAGTGGGACGGTTCCTTCCGAATGTTTGCAAAGACTTGCCAGGGAAAGTCTTCACATGGTTTGGGGTTCCCTTGGGCAACGAGTGGAGTGACCCTGCAGGGGTTTCGCAAAAAAAAAAAAAAAAACATTGATTGGCTTCCGCTGGAGTTCGCTTTAAATACCAAAGAGCTCCGAAAACCATTTGGGTCCGTCTTTTTGTAGGGGACGACAAAACGGGTGGTTTTCCGTTTTCCTTTCAACCACCAAAACACATGTACCGTCAAAAATAAGGACACACCCAAAAAAACATTAATGGAATAACTGGAGTAACATTTGGAGCATGGCAAAAACAAAAAACTCTGAAGGTAGTTCCATGGTCCCGGGTTCCAACATCAGTGCCAATTCTCCAGTACTGCGAGGGGTTGATTTTTCATTCTGTTCAACCATCGTTCTTTTCAAGAACCGGCGGTTTATTTGGGTTTTTGATGGTTTTCTGAAAAGAAGTTCGGATCCCTGAAAAACATATGTCCCTTGGAAGCTATGGACGCCCAAACCGCCGAATCAGCGGTTGGTTGGAACAAGAAATCAGGGAAACCAACCAGCAGGAATTTTCGGGGGAACCAGTTGGATACTGCCACTCCCCCTAGAGTACTGCCACTCTCCCTGGGCCACTTCTCAGCTGAGTCATGCCGGCCTTTTGTCCCCGGTCGTCCCCGGTCGTGGCCTATGGTCACTCGCATCTCACGACGCGTCTTGCGACGGGGGACAGATATTGCCCCAATGGTGCTTGAACATTCGATCTTAAACCGCATTCACATTCCAACTAAAAAAACTATTGCTTGTTTCAAAGCGATGTGGGTATCAACCACGAGAACACTGCACGAGTTTACGACCAGTTTCATCCGCTTCGCACCCCGAGCGGATCCAACCCGATCTGCGGATCCGGCCTCCTCAGGTAGGTGCAGTAGCTCAGGTTCTGAAGCGGATATCCTGGGCCGACTTCATATAGCTTTCATGTTTAGACAAAGGAACATTAAAGGAGCACCGAGCTATATTTGTTTTATCGACGAACAAGTGTGGCGATTTCAGGTGGAAGGACTATATAACTCTTTTTTTATAGCCTAACCATTCGGCAGCCAAGTTGCCGCATTGCCGGCCTTGTTGAAACAGATCGGCACGCCAAAACAAAAATATCCACTCCTTTCTGTGGCCAACCATGACTTTTTCCAAGGTCGTCTAAATCGGGCAACCCTAGTCGGTTGACGAGCACCAACCGTTTACACGTTGATGTTGACAACTACTTGAGGCCTGCTGGACCACACCGATTGCTTGAGTGTTCTCTAGACCCGTCATGCGAGGCTTTTAGCCTAAACGCTAGCAACAACTACTGGGTGTTGCGAATGGTAGGTTGAGTGGGCAGCCAGCACAGTGGAAGGCTGAAGAACAAGACACAAGGCGAACAACCAACCAGCAACTCGGACAAGCGCCAGCTCCAAGTAGTCGTAGCTTTTCGTTGGGCCAGTCCTTTTTGGGTGGCAGATTCACTGTAAAAGGAAACAGAGCACTTGCTGCAGCTAGGTCTATGCAGCGCTAAACTCCGGGAGCGCGGAAGGCAAAAAAAGAGAGGCCGTCTTGCAGAGGTATCTCTCAACACCGCTGACCGATCTTAATTGAATCATTCTAATAAGTATACACTAATAAATATCAAGAAATGGCATATATATATACATATATATGCATATATACATATACGTATATTATATACATATACATATATATATATACACATATATACATATTTACATAAATATATGTATGTAAATATGTATATATGTGTATATATATATATGTATATATCTACAATAATTTATGTACTACATAGAAGCTTAACCCGCTGCAACCAGAACTTCACCCAACGCAAACCAGAACTTGTCATATTGTTTGGCAGCGTGTGTGTGCAAGGAATAACATATTTGTAGATTGTCTGAGGATTTGTCTATGATCTGACTTGTTCTTGTTTCACGTGGGCTTGAGTTATTTGTTCGCTGCTCTTGGCAGCAGCTGGGGCTATTAGAACTGCTGCATGCGCATCTGCTCTTGCTGATTGGTGTCTATGGGCATCACATCGTGCTTGAAGGCAAGCTACACTATGACTTGCTCAAAAGCGCCCCACAAGCCCATCCACGAAGTTTCACATCCCGGCAACCATGAACCCACTCGCTTGCACTCTTCTTGCGCTGTCCTTGCTTGAAGCCTCACTCACTTTGATCATGCTGCCAGTTTCAACCTGGTAACATCCATTCGAATGGCACATGTGCATCTATACATGTATGTGTGTGTCATTGCTAGCACCCACACTCTGCGCAAACGTTCTGTCGTTTCCTGGTCGCTGTGTAGGAGTTGGACCATGAATCCAGAATGTCGGATGCTTTGTCTCTGTGTTTGCCCATTTGCCTGTCGGAGTGTGTGTGTGTGTGTGTACATGCTTGCGAGCTGCTTTCTCGCAAAGGTCGTGCGTCATGTCGCAACCAATTCGGACACCGCGTGCCCAGAACAACGCATGGCTCAGCGCGAGCTAGTTCTGCAGGGCAAGCGCGCGTGAACACTTTTTTTCTCATCAAAACTTGTTCGGCCAAGAAACTGTCTTATCAGCAACACAAACCGAAAGAACGGTCCAAGTTCAAAACACGGCCTGCATTGCAATACGACTAGTGGCTGCAAAAGCTTAGAGGCAATGGGCAACGCACACGCAAACGCTAACCAAAGAACAGGAGTGTAGAACGGCGGCAGCAACGTAATCAAGGGCAAATTGCAGAGCCAGTTCTGGCTGGAAGGCACAAGCAGAACAGAAGGGCAAATCTGTGAAATGAATACACGAACACATCCAAAATTCATCGCAAACAATGGGCAATGGACATTTTAAGATTTGCGGCACGCCTGCAAGACACATGTCAGATCAGTAAAGCTTACACATGCTGAGGAAAGTCCATGTGTCCAGGCCCGATATGTGTTGCGCTTGTTGATGAAAAACAGCGCGCAGTTGAGGTTAACAACAGTCGCTTTTTTCGCGTTTGGCTTACCGCCTAAGCTGCCACAAAAACAAATGTCAGTACAAGCAATCAGGGCAGGTTCAACACCTTCTGAATTTTAGTTTCACTTGTTCACAGCAATCGCATGCAGTCGGCAAACGACAAACATTTATGATCAACTCTGCAGGGGCCGCGAACACATCAAACTTAACACGCAATTGTTCCTTCGAGCCACTCAAAACTACTTACGAATCTTGGAAGCAATAAAAACACAGTCACGCAACCGCTATGGATCAGGCAAATGCATACGCTTATCTACTGATCAGACACCTCGTTAAAAGGCAAGCCAAGTCATGGTTGCGTGTAGAGTACAATCTGCAAAGGACAAACATCATTCGCCACAGCATGGTACCAACTAAGCACACCAGATTCCGGAAGCTAAACCTCACATAAAGTGAAGTACATGCTGTGCATTATTTGAGAGTGATTCTTTGAAACATGCTAGGGATAGCTTAGGCTGTGTGTGTGCGCTTCATGCGCTCTCCGAGTCCTATTGCCTTCCAATAACCTGGCTTTAAGTTCAAGCGAGGCAAACATCAGCCAGCTTTCCACATTGTGATGCATTCCAGCAGATTCCAGCAGGGTTCTATACGAAAATCAACTGTGTTGCGTCTTCAAGGCACCGATGTAAAAAAATGAGGAAAGCAAAACACACCTTCTATTTTTCCGTGCTTCTGAGCATATGGTGTTCCAAGCACCTATACAGCCAAATGTTCAACAGTAGAACATCTTGTTCACTCGGTTTCAAGCTTGAGTTTCGTCCCAAGGCGCCGGCCAAATTTTGGCCAACAGAATATCGCTTACCAGTACATGCTTTTGGTCACAGCACGCCGCAGCCAAATCGGGCCCAACAGGATGTCTCGGTTTTTTTCCCAAGGCGTCTCCGCAGCCAAATTTGGGCCAACTGGATGTCTCGGTTTTTTTCCACCGGCCTCCGAGTACATGGTTTTGTCCTCAAGGCGCCGTCGCATCTTGGTGGCAAACACGAGCAAAATCTGAGCTGCGGCCACTGGCCCAAAAAATGTCGCGGTTTTTAAAAACCACTGTATAAATTCAACGTGTTCAAGCCCATCAATGACTTTCAAGGGCTTGTCGCGTTGGCAGGAAAATGACAGCTGAGCTGTTTCAAGTGGAATTTATACAGTGGTAAAAAAAAAAAACAAGACATTTTTTGGGCAATTGGCCGCTGCTCAGATTTTACACAGTTTTGCCATCAACATGCGAAGGCGCTTTGATCACAAAATCCAGGAACCCGGAAGCGCCGGGAAAACAAACAAACATCATACATCCGGTTGGCCCCAACTTGGTTGCGGAGACATCTTGGGAAAAAGAAAGCGAGACATCCTGTTGGCCTGCGGCCAAGCCCGCGACCACGCTGGCAACATAGAACCATATTTCTTCTGTTGGCCGAAAGTTGGCCGCGGACGCGTCTTGAGTCATGCCATTGGGCAATGTATGTGTCATTGCATCATAGGCTTCTTGGGAAAGGACATTCATGTACTTGGAAGCCGGCGGAAAAGTGATATGACATGTTTGACTACGTTGACGCTGTGATATGCTTCTTTGATGCCTGCAGCGGGTGTTAAACACTGGGTAATATTTGTCGTCACTGGCGCTTTGAGCAAACCCATATATTTGACCTGGCGATTATGAAAGTTATGTACTCAAAGACTGAACAGCAGCATTTTTTCACAAAGGTGTCTACTACAATCCACGGAACACAACACGCAGAATCAACAACGTTTGGAGAACCAACATTATATGCACCACGATTCAACATATGTGAGATAACAGTTGTCCAGTGTCACTCCTGCAATGTGTGCTAAATGTTCATGCATGATTGTTACTTGTTGTTTTCCTTGTTGTACAAAGTGTGGATGTACATGAACGCACACACGTGCTTGACTCATTGCAGCTCAGGTTTAGCTGTGTTTCGCAATGCCTCTAGAGACATCGAATGGCGTCAGTGAATAATCGTTGCTTGCTTTGGTCGCGATGCGGATGTATGGCTCGTTTGTTGTTAAGCATAGCTCCATTACTGTTGTCCCATCTCTTTACTCGGGTTTCAATGGTGCGTCCTGTCAAGAGCTGCGAGACCCGTATCTTGTCGGTGTTCATTCGCGCATTGTCACGCATTGCTGGAGACTCCAGACCCATTCAAAACTCAGTTCAGTGTTGTTTGCTATCATGGAACTCAATTCTGATTCTGAAAAGAAGACGTTCAGAACCTGGACACGTAAGTTCCTCAGTGTCTCCGCAAAGAACCCACAAACAATTTGCGGTGTATGTAAGATTGCGGTTTGGTCATTTGTCCTGCGGGCCTGCTACTGGCAGTGCTCAACCTTGAAGAGCTTGTTGCTTACTGCGTGCCCGTGGCTTTGAATGTGTGTCCCTTGGCTCATTTCACTCATTTGCTCTCCTTTTCTGGCTATGCCATTCAGCCGAAGCTGGCTGTGTTTTAGGGTTGCTGCCGATCGTTCTGCGCCCGTGTCTTCTGGTTGGCATCAGCGTGTTTACGTTGCCCATTGCCTTTGAGCGTATTGCAATGACTGCCACATTTCCAGTTTGGCCTGCGTTTCTTTTTGACGATCGAGTTTCACTTGGCAACAACTGTTCATATGCGCTTTCCCCATAGAATATATTTGTATTGAGCCATGCGCTGTTTGGAACATATACTGTATTCACTGAAAGCTAGTACGCCGGGCATGCTGCACAAGCAAGCGTGCTGTGCACTGACAAAAGGGCAGATTTGCTATATCACAGAAGAGAGCCAATAAAAACACACGCACACAGATGTAAAAACGAAAAAGACACGCGCGTATGGCAGGCATACACAAACAATTGTCTACAAATCATTACATATCTATTTACTTATGTATGTATTATATCTATATACAGATAGTAATTCATTGACACTGCAACTACCATCAACATAATCAACTGCACAAAGTGCGAGATCACAGCACGAAAGCAGCAAGACGTGATGAGCACATGGATGCACAACTACTTGAACGAGTGCGGGGCGTTCCTGATTGCATTGCAGTCTCTATTTGGGCATATGCTTAGGCACATAAGGCAATGATTAGCACGCATTTCCGGATAGTTATTCTGCTTATTGACAAGCTGGCAGGCGCTCACAGTCCTTTGCTATGGGCATGTAAATTACGTGTTTTGCAATACAACCCTACGATGTTAGGCAGCAAGTGCAATAGAATTACAGAAGTTGTACGATTTCCAGCTACTTTAGGCGTAGCAAAGGCAAGAAGCACAATATAAGTATTAAAGGCTTCGAAGCATGCAATAACCAAGTGCAAGTTCCGATTTGTTTTGGGTAAAGTTCCGGTTGGACCGGCTTATATGATACCTGCACCGTCAACTATACACAAGAAAGGAATTCACCAAGCAAAATTCGGGTTGCAATAACCCAACAACCAGGTAGACCTTTATTCCTTTCTTCCCTGAGACCGTTTCAGCTGCTTAACTCCTTTCAAAAGCATGGTCTAGGTATAAAGCAAATTTATTTACCTGTGTATATATATATAGAATACATGAACTCTTAAAATGCATATATACAGCCTAATTCGTAATATGTATATGGAATAGTTCTTATGTCATGTATCAATACATATATATATATATGATAAGTGTTACAAGACAAGTATATCTATGTATATATATATATATATAATATGTAGATCCAACATGCCGGCGAACTCCGGCCGAGGCGCCAAAGGCCTGCACCGGGCCGAGGTCCACATGCCGCACCCGGACGCGGGAGCCTCTGGAACCGTTGGCTCGGAGCCATCGGTGGCGCTGCACCGTGCCTCGCGAGTCGAGGCGTGGGACACGCCGCTGAGATGCCAGGAATTCTGGGAAAAACCTGGGGCTATGGGGTGGCCAAAAGGCGAAAATATGCGAAAATCCGATGTTGGAGTTGAAAGGGGAACCCAACATTTCCAATGCTTGGTTGGAGTTGAAAGGGGAACCCAAATCCCAAGAAGTTGAAAGGGGCGGAACCCACTGGGCAACTGGAAGCAGGAAAGCTTCCAGGTAAGGGCAAAAGCATTTAAACCACATTTGGACATGATTCTAGGAGTAAGCTGTTCGTAATTGTCTAGCCGCTGATTTTACCACGCAGTATAGGTGACCAGGGCAAACCATCCATGGCAAAACCTGCTAAGCATACCGCAAGTTACCTACCGCAAGTTACCGACTACTAGAAGCACCGCGAAGGGTGAAAACAGCTTCGAAATATGGGTTCCAGCCCCCCAGACTAGGAGTCCAAAAAGCATCTAAACGCAGTGACCAACACGTGCGGCCAAGTATCTCAAGGACAGAAACTCGCTCGGTCCCTTCCTGGGGTATTGTCTTTCGTTGTCTTTTGAATTATAGTATATACCAGGGAAAAGACACGAAACGTTTAAAGATCGCACTTCCTAAAAAGAAGGCAAAGGACCCTTTGAACCCTTTTGCCACTCGTCATTCGTTTGAGGGTCGGAGCAGCTAGCGAAAAGCGGAACTCTCCTAGCTAGTGGTTTGCCAGCATGGGCACTTTTGCCAAAGGCTCTAACCTTTCTACAAGGTTTGCAGAACACCGAATGTTGAATGGGCATAAGTGGAGTCATGGTCCGCTACGTACATAAACAAATTTCAAATGAAGGAACAGCTGGTTGCTTCAGGCTTCCCGCTTACAAATCATAGCGGGTAGGCGCAAACAAGTCAAGGTATACTCAATTTCCTCGGCGGTCGTTGAGCTTGAAGGTCCTCAACATGAGTTGTTGGCTAGTCTTAGGTCAAACAAAAACCCGAAGCCTTGCTTGACCCACCGGCACAAGCAATGTTTCAATGAGTCCTGCCTGTACGTGGCATCAAAGCGAACTCCTCTCCATCCACGCCCATTTCACCCAGAGGGGAGCTCCCAGAGATAAGCAGTGAGATTGTTCATGTGATTTGAAAAATCGAAGCACCAGGTTAGTTCATCTGGAGGCCAAGCGCAACCCTCTTACACTTGCTGCTGTGATAAAGGAACGAGAAATGGAATGACTCTTGTAATAACCATCCCTGGGCTTTGGCCCTTAAAGAAAACCACCAGTTGGATGGTTTATAAGAGTCATTCCATTTCGCATTCCCCACCTATCGCACCATCCTCTTCCATTTGCGCTGCACCCAGCCTGACCAGGCCGCGTCCGTGTCCACCGACACGATGCGCAGGTCCGGGAAGCGCGCGGCCACGTGGACCTCGGGCGACGTCAGTCCCCATTCTTTTCAACCATCGTTCTTTTCAAAACAAACCTGTTTTCAACCTGGGTTTCCAGAGGATTTCTAGAAGGAAAGATCCCTGGAAAGAATGGGGAAGGTACCCCTGGAACAACACCTGGCCTCCATTCGCAAAAAAAGTGGCCTGGAAAGCATACTTAATAATGTTAACCCAGGAGCAAGTCCGAATCCCCACTAAAAGTGGACACTCTCCAATCAAAATCGACCAGGGGTTTATAGATCCGGGTTAAACATTAAACATATCTCCGGTGAAGGATTCCCTTTGAAACCCACAAGGAAACATCACACATATTCTTAAGCAAAAAAATGGAAGTTAGCTGAATTATGTGCTGGTGTTCTTCCTTTTTGATGGGCATGAGAATTAGCGAGACCCCACATCCCCGAATCGAAGTTCACCATACACTGGAGATTTGGGTGTGTCTGAGGGTACCTAGGGCTTCAAGAACCTGTAAAAGTGTCGTACCCTGACTAAAACATCGTGTTTTTCTCGATTTTCTGAAAACATCGTGTTTTCAGGAAAAGCCTTGTGTTTTTGATAAAACCCCCTTAAAAATGGGCTTCTGAGGCCACTCATTTGGAGCAAAGGGTCAAAGGCAAGGGTCGGGAGTGGATTCACACAGGCATCACCCATTAAGATTTCAACTGAGGGCAACGCTCTATACTGAGTATGCTTCAAATTCTAAGGACCACATTGATGAGCCTGACAGCCAGGGTGTGCAGCTGGCTTCAGTCTTGAAGTACCTTTCACAGCAACAGGCACCGAAAGACTGGCGCCAGGTCATACCAAACCAGTTTGAAGGGGGTGCTGGAATCCGAAAGCTCCTTTTGGTGCAAAACAAGACCAGGTGACACCTTTTAAGATTGTTTTATAAATTTTGAGTTTATTTTAGAAAATGGGGCGGGATCCTGGCGGCTAACCGCAGAAACCCGTAGAAAACCCGTAGAAACCCGTAGAAACCCGTAGAAACCCGTAGAAACCCGTAGAAACCCGTAGAAAGCCCGCAGCCCCAAACGAAAACATTGTGTTTTTGGAAAACATCGTGTTTTCTAACCCGTAGCTAAACCGTGGAGAACCCGTAGTAAAGCGTGGCAAGCCGTGGAAATTCTATGGGTTTTTCGGGTTCAACCACGAATGCGCTAATTCGAGAATGTTGCTGGAAAACAACGAAGTCGTGAGCAAAAGCACGGTCTTTGCTTGAGCTTGCGCGCTGTTCGAAGCCAGCACGCCCTCATCATGGCATTGCTGCTTGACAAGTGTCATAAAACCGTGGTACTTTTGACTATTTGGGTCCCCGGCCTCCTTCTTTCAGATTGGAGTTGCGAAAGACGAGTGGCGAATGCGAAGCTGATTTCGTTACGAGCGCAAAAGGGGAGGGCGATGGGAGATTCTGAGGTTGAGATGATGCTGTTGAGGTCTTTTGAGAACGGATGACGAGTTGAAGGAATGTATGGGAAAATGCTTGAAATTCCAAAATGCGGTGTTTCCCGAAAACATTGTGTTTTCCCAAAAAACATTGTGTTTTTTGTAGGTATGACATTTTCATCGGTTTTTGAGGCTCCTGGTACACGAGTATCTGAAAGTGGGTCTGTCGATTTTTTGAGGGTACCCCTTTTTAAATAAATTTAAAAGGACCGTAGACATAAAGTGAGAAGGGACATCCAAAATACAATCGGCATGTGGACCTGCGTCCCCTGCAAAAGCTCTTCGTCTTTCGAAGAAGGTTGCAGAATTGCAAGGGAGGATAACGGTGGTTGCAACCTGAGCTGTCCTCAGATCCCCCGCTAAAAGTTTCTAACTTTTGGGCTAAATGGAAAACCCCACTGGGAGGGCCTGAACAAGCGTTTTGAGGACCTGAAGCCCATCTCAAGTGACCCCGGCAGAATGGAAAAACTTTGGGGGACCCACACTCCAGTTCGGCAAGCAGCAAAACCAGACGAAAAAACACGGGGCGGCTGCCCAACACCAACCAGCCCCTGTTTGTTGGGGCTCAAGGGAAAACAAGAGTAAACCATTCTTCGGATCCCTACCCTGTCTCCCACGTTGCCATGGCACCTGACAGGGAGTCCCTCCAAGAAGAAACTGAAAGGACAAGGAAAGATATTAAACTGTAAAATAATGGATTAGGAAAATATCTGACAATAAATATCAAATGAAAATAGATGATGAAAATACAAAGCTAATAATAAAGGGAATGAATGGAGCTGTATCCTGTCCGTTGGTTGGCTCCGGAGAAATATATTCCTTCCACCACCCAACCCTTCTAATCATGTGGATTACTAACTCCTTTACATATAGTACCTGAATGGTATTTCTTATGCCAATATGCTATGTTAAAAGCTGTGCCAAATAAAAATGCAGGATTCATTATCTTATTTACTTCTATCTTCATCTTATTTTACTTGATGAGAAGTCTCTCTTTTTCATTCTATTTTATAATATTTTCATCTGGTAGATTTAATGGCTTTTATCTGTGCTTTTGGTTTCTGAATCTTTTTTATTGGGTTTGGATAGGTGGTCAATTTCCTGTAGACAACGTTCTATCTTATGGTCGTATCTTGACATGTAATTATTATTATATTATCTGTATCGTGTCTTTTTATTTGGAGTTTTTCATTATTTTGGATGTGTTTGGAGATGAAAGTAAATGAGATAAGATGGCATCATATTGTATCTCTTCATCTCTTAGTTTGGAAAAGATGCCATCATTCTCTCCCTATCATTACTAATCAACAAAAGAGAAAGGAAAGACAAATATAAAGTGAATCTGTTTAATAACTAACATAGCAAAATGATAATAAATAACAGATGACAGAGATTCCTTAACCAAAAGTAAATAATAAATGAATGAAGGATTAGTAAAAAGGTCTTAGTAAAAAAGAAAGTGTATTGCTTTCTTATTGGGATTTCTATTTACAATTTATCTTTGAGGTCATATTTTTCATAAATTGTGCCAATAATATGTTTCTAATGTTAGGAACGACTAATATCAAGATGACCGTAAATAATAAATGATTTTTGATGGATTGTTGGTTTTTGTTTTTATCATTATATTTTCATTATCTGGTTATCTTTTTATTAATAACTTCTTCATTTTGGTTGGTTTCTTCATAATATTGACTATAGGATAGGACTTCCAGGTGACAGGTAATTCCCGTTTACCCACTTTATCTTTGCCAACAATTCTAAATCCTCTCCCACAAATGCCATGTTGCTGAGGAAGGTAACGAATGGACATCCATTCCAGATCTGGAAAGCTTGACAACCCTTGGTACGGTTGCAAAACACTGACTGCCTGTTGCCGGCCCGAAGCCTAACAATCAATGCAACCAAAGACACATATCACACCAACACACTTGATCCAAGAACAGTGAAGTAAGCCAATCTATATCCTTCCAATTGCTTAAGCCCTGGAAGAAAAAGAGTAGTGAAGTCGATTTCCTTTCAATATAGAACATATTCTGAAATGCAAATGGAATTATCCATTGCAGATCTGGACAGCCAACCTTTGGTGCGCTAATTTTTGCCCGAGGCACGGTGGAGGCCCCACTCCCGAACTCGAAGTAGGAGCTTTTGCCCTCCAGCGCTGAGTGGAGCAGCGACAGCTCTTCTGGGCCGGGCCGTTTTCCCGATCTCTCATTCGCAGACCATCCACGTAGGTAATATATACCAACATTTGATCCCATGTTGAGGAAACATGTGCGTATATATATATATATACTTATTTTACCTACGTACATGGATTGTGCGGGATGGGGTTGTTTGTTTTTTGTGAGTACCCCGTTTTGCCGGTTTCAAATTAAAACCAGAAGGAACACCGCAGCAATTTCGAGGACAACCCATTCCTAAACAAACGCATAGCCACTCAAGTCGCTCGCGTTATGTACCGGAACCTTGGGGTGGGTTGAATCTAGACCAACAGGAAACCAAGCACTGGTCTCATTGTGTTCCGGTCCCTTGCTCTTTGGGTTCGACTTGCCTGCAAAGATGCTACTTGCCCGACAATTGGTTCAATGATTTGCCTTAGGTTCTGATTTCCAGGATCCTGGGGGAAAACAAACAAAGGTACAGGTGGCTGTGGCTCCAACGCATGTTCCAAAATGGCACCTTGGCAAATGGAACCCTTCCATCTTGAGCCACTGGCTTTATTGCACCCCTACTTCCAGTTGATAAAGCGCCACCGATAAAAAAAGCGATACCATAGTGATGGATTACCTTTAAAGTCAAAAAGGAACAATCACAAGTACCCTTCCACCAATTAACAGCGGGGTCCTGGGAGACCATTGTCCATTTTGAAGGGAACCCTCTGTCAGGTTCCATGTTGATTGGTGGGAGGGTAGTATGGACGCCGGAACCTTTGTGATGGGTGACGTCGCACACCAACACCAATGTCGGAACCATTCAGCAAAGGGGTGAGGTGCACCCCCCCCTGGGAGGGTATTCAAATGGCCATGGGTCAAAAATAGGTACCCAAAATGGAACCATAAATGGAACCATAAATAGAAACCTGCGGTCTTCTGGTGGGTTAATTTTGACCCATACCCAAATGGAAGCCAACACTCCAACAGCCCATCCCCACACTTGCCAGACCGCGTGCCTGGCAGCAGCATCACCGCGCCGATGCCCGGCACTCGCACCTTTCCGTCGGCAGCTTCCGACACCAAGAAAGGGAGCAGCGCAGCCCGAAGCATACCTGGCACCCGGGTCCCAACAAACGGCGCTTTTGGACCATACCAAGGGGATTTTGGGACATGGGACAGTTGGGTGTTTTTTTGTTGACAGTGCCGAAGGGATTTTGGGACATGGGACAGTTGTTGCATCTTGCCGTTTCTTTTTTTTTGGGTGGGGGAGGGGGTGCTGCTGAGTGTCGTCTCTGTTTTTGAGGCGGGCTCAACGTTTTCGTGGGGAGAGCCCGGGAGAGCAAACAAGCAAAAATCCATTGTGGGGGTCCACTAAAAAAGGTTATACCCTGCACCATTTTGCGTGTCTGAACATGAGGCGAGACCCAAACTGGGTTTGTCCTTCTTCGAGGACCTCCGAAATAAGCTTCACACCCAAATGCCTGCTTGAGTCCCCCTCTAAACTCTCACCAAGCATGGTACGCTAAAAAACAAACAACACCCCTGTCACACCTGTCGGTTTTTGTTGTGGGGTTCCTGATCTTCTTGGCCACCGGTTTGTGGTAAAGGTTGTCTAAGTTGCCCTGTTTGGACCCAAGAAAAGGTGATACTGTGCACGGTTGGCCAAAATCCGCGTCTCGCACCACGGTGAAAGAATTCATGGTTGAAACCAGAAGGTTTGTCGGTATTTACCTTGGGGAATCATCAGAAACCAGGGTTTCTGAGCGGTGGTGCGAAATGGACGTCGCAACCATCCACGGTGTCACCTTTCGGATTTTTGGACTCATGGATCAACAAGGAGGAAAACCGTTGTTCTTTGCAGCCCCCTAATAAAAATGAACAGAACCAAAACAAACAAGCAACTTGCCAAGAGTAATTAGTCAACATTGATCAACAAGGAGAAGCCCAAAGGTGAATTTTCAGGTCGATTCAGTTTGGTTGCATCAAGACTCACCCGAGGGAGTTCTAGCATAGCCCCGGTCACTCAGGCGGAGCCGCCGGTTTCCGACGCTGGTACCCCACTTTTCTGTATGAGAAAACCCCTGACCAAGAAGGAATTTGATTTGGACCGGGTTCTTCAACATATACCCAAGAAAACACTGGGTATTTGGAGGTGCTTCGAGTTGGAGAGCCTCGCAACCGATGCCCTTGGAGCGTCTTATGAGGTCGTTCGAGGGGTCCGTCAGTCAATGGCATTGTTGAGGGTGTCCGTAGGCCCAACAAGTCGACCTGGACCCGCAAAAGTCCAACTTAAACATGGGTTATTGTCAACCCAAATTATGGCTCGTGACTGGTGACTTCCCTTTTTTCTGGGTAGTTTCCGGGTCCAGGTAAGTCTTTGGCGTACAAAAAGTGGTGCTCCCAAAAAATGACAGTCCAAAGGCCTGGGGAGGCCAAACTGCTGACCACTTGGTTGGCGATCGAGTGAATTGGCCAGGCCCTTCCACCCACCAACTCTGGGAGATCTTGGAGGGAGCCCCTGTCCGGCGCCATGGCAACATGGGAGAGAGGGTAATTATTAACAAAAAATGACAAAGCCAAACCCAAACAGCGGCCCAAGTCCGAACCGGAACTTCGGGAGTGAGGATGTGGCTGATTCCCATCTGGAGAAACTTTGTCACTTTGAAGGGAAGCCCAGGGCTCCCTTGCTGTGGAAAGTGGCCCCTTTCGGGAGGCCGGAGTGAGCATCATGAAATATGAGTAAATGCAGGGTATCTGAGCCAATTAAAGCACCAAGAAGGTTCATGTGTCAAATCAAGACTTCCCTCGACCCACAGACCAAACCCCGAAGAAGACCTATGACAGAGTCATAATTTGAGCGTTTTGACTTTGGGTGGGTTTGGGTTGGTTTGGAGCTGATTTGTGTTGGGTATGCTGCTAGTGTAGCAGCGGCTTTAGGGTTGCTTTGGGGAGTGGTTAAGTGAGTTGTGGGCGAGTTTTGGTGGTTTGGGGCAACGCTCCAAAACCGATCCTAAACGAGACCAAAGCTCACTTAACCACTCCCCAAAGCAACCCTAAAGCCGCTGCTAAACCAGCAGCACACCTAACACAAATCAGCTCCAAACCAACCCAAACCCACTCAAAGTCAACCCCAAACCCGCCCAATAGCAGCCTGGATGTCAGCCCTTCGCTTCGCCTAAATCAGGCCCAAACCAGCCCAAGACCCAGCCCCCAGCAACTCCCAAGTGCCACGAAACAGCCAATAGACGGCCCCAAAGCCAAGTGAGGCTGGTGCCCGGGATGCAGCCAGCCAGCCCAACCAACCAACCAACCAACCAGGGGACCAGGGGACCAGGGGACCAGGGGACCAGCCCTAGCAACAAAAAAAACACCCTAGGAAAAAAACAACGCCGGATCCCCATACGGGTGTTCCTCAAAGAGAAACACCAACATGGGCTGTGCCATGTTGGTTTTCTTTTGAAACCACTCCGAAAAAGGCTCTTCTCCTGAAGGGGTATGTTCCAAAGGTTTGGCGGTACAACCTTCGAATGTATGGCTGGACATGTGATTCCCTCAATTCCTGCGTGGATGGCCGCAAACAAAACTTCCAATCCGTGAGTTTACCACTAGAATGGTCTTCCCAAAAACCAAAGAGTCTACAAACTCAAGTAGTGAGTTACCAAATTCCCGACTTCGCATAAAGTTGTAAACCTCAGACAGGCGATCCAATTTCCCACCAGGTCCCCGGAAGTCGAAAGGCTTCCCGCCCATCCAATCTGCCGGGATGCTGGAGCTCGAATCATCAGCATAAGCAGAGTTTCTCCATTGCCGGCAGAACTGAGTGACCAGCTGCTGGTTGAGTATTGCACCACCGTAAAAGTCGATGCGACTGGCTCCTTCGTCAAAAGGGTGAGCAAACTAAAAAGGGACGTCCTGCCAGCAATAGCTCTGAACACTTGCTGGTGCTCAGTATGGAATGAACCTAGGGATTCCCCTAAGGAAAACCACGAGTTGGATGGTGTTTCTTGCTGTCATTCCATTTCTCATTCCCTGCCTATCGAACCAGTAAGATAATCCTGCACGAACCTGGCAGCAGTATTGACCTACCATGTTACAGGACTGACAGCTCCTTCGCCCGCTCTTGAGAAAAACAAAAACTAATTTGGATACCCCCAGCTCCCGAACGGCTCCCCAGCTGGAGCCTGGCAATGTGCCCAGTTGTGGCTTTTCCCGGGCAAGTTTCATGTCATGTCCGCCCATGACTTTTGTCTGACCTCGAGATAGATGGTTCGGCCAGGCACTTTTCTTTTCCCTTCAAATGCTGCGTGCATCCATGATCGCCGCAAACCCAAGGCCCCACCCGGCCCCAAGACCCATCGCTTCCCCTAATTGCTTTTTTGTCTTAAATTGGTGGTGCTTCCACTGGATTGGTTTGGGGATTTAGACTGTGGCTCTTGAAGATGTAAATCGGAAGGCTCCTAACCTCCTAACCGCCAAACCACCGGGCTCCAAACGATGTGGACACACGCTGAGCTTCGCTCCGATCGAGAAATCTTTGTCTTTCGACGTCAAAAGTTCTGCGGCCTCATGCTGTGCCGAACCCTTACGCCACTACCCCTTCCAGAAACTCCCTCAAAAGAATCTGTGCGACACTGCTGGGATGTCCAAACTGAACCCCTGCTAAAAGTGTTTAACTTTTGGTAACCCACTAAAAACCACTTAAACCCAAGTTGAACCGGATGGCTGGTGGAACCCCCAAGTACTAAAAAGCCAAGAAACCGAATGGCTGGGAGCCACCAAGACCGGGGAGAGCGTCCCCGCCGCTGCCCTCAGCTGGCTTCTTAGAAGGTTGCTCTGCATTCTGATTCCTACAGGGTTGCTTGGTTTCTGAGATTCCTGATGCTTGGTGGTGTGTCTGTCCTGCGGCTTGCGGATGAGGATTTGGGATCTTGTGCCGTGCTCGGAGGGAGGGGTTTGCTCGGCTTGCTTTCGACTGGTCATCGGGGGGGGGGTGTTGGTTGCCTAGGGGCGAGCAAACTGAGAAGTAGGCGTGAAGGGCTTGGGGTCCCTTGATGGGTGCAATTAAGGGCTTGGACCCCCCCCATGCGGAAAGTTGATTTCAGATGGCCACTGCTTGATGCAGCTAGAATCCCTTTGAGAAAAGACAATGTAAATCATCGGGGTAGCCTTTTCCTCAGGGCCGCCATGCGTCCTGTAGTGTTGAAAGCCGTCTTTACAAAAAGAACTCAAGGCACACAATGTGTTTTTTTCTTTGTCACAGGTTTGTTTTTTTCACCATGGGGCACGGAAAGATTTGCCCCTACCCTCCCAATTCGTGCCCAGCTCCTTTGTGGTGGCAAGTCAACTCGAACACATTGCTTGAAGGAAACCACAGTATCCTCCGTTAGGCTCGCTGGCTTCCAGCTTCTGTGTGTTGTACAGGCATACCTACATGAAAGAAATCCTACCCCCACTTGCCCAGAGTCGACCTTTTGACCTTTTCGTTTCCCAATGTTGTTCCAATTTTTGTCAAGGCTCAGTTGCTGGTTCTCAGCCGGGAATAGGGAATGACCCTATAAACCATCCCTGGCTTCCTTAACATTAAAGGGAATTCTACGATTCATTCCCAAGATCCTGACTCCTGGCTCAGTCATTCCCTACCTCTCGCACCAGCGAGCTGTGGATGGACGAAATCCATTTCGCACCACTCAGAAGCCAAGGGCAAACCATTGTTTGTTGCCATCTACAGGGGAATCATCATTCGAGGGTTTCTTAGGTGGTGCGAAATGGATTTCGTCCATCCGCAGTATTTCCAGCTCCTTGGCTGAGCTTAAGGCGCCCCACTCCTGACTCCTAAGCCGATGCAGGCTTTGATCCTCCACAGCTGCGGCTTCGACAGTATCCCCTGCGACATGGCAGCCGCATGCTCGGACAGGTCGGTCCGACGGAAACTTCGGTTCTCCAAATGGGCGAAACGACTGGAACATCAACCTTTAGGATATGTTCGGAGCTGGGAGGGGGGGAAGGGCTTGTGTTCCCTTGAATCAGGTGCAAGCCGTTTTGTGCGCCAGACACCTTGAAATGGGGTTGACGCCAATGGGGACCTTGGGATTTTTTTTGGCGCTGGCTAAGGTGAATTGTTGAACACCGTTCCTGGGCTGAGCGCAGGAATCCAGTCATTTGGATGGCTTGAGGTGCACTATTGAGCATGGGGCCGATGGGTTTATGTTTGCACAGCTATCTCCAGTTCTTACCGAATTCCATCGATTTCCCTATTTTGAGTCAGACTCATTTGCCTTGCCGATCCTTGCCGATTTCGGAGTCATCACCTTTGACTGTCAGTGCCTTTCCTTGGGCGATCTTAGGGAGACGCTCTGAAAGTCGACCAGGTTGGCTTTTGGACCTGAAGCCCTGGATATTTCTGATGTGTGCCATGAGCGTAACTACCCTTTCATGGTTGTTGTTTGGACACATTTGTCCAATTTTTGCTTATTGTGGTTGAGTGGTTGAAATCCCCACTTAACACAGCTAAAATTTAGACTTTTGGCTCCCGTTCCAACGTCAACCAAGTTTAATTTCCCCAATGGTCATGACCCCTCCGCCCTCCAATGCAGAACCACGGCCCTTGACTTGAAAGGCCCTCCAAGCAAGCGGTGCGGACCCAAACATCATCGGGACCCTGAGGGTTTAGGAGAAAACCGAAGGGTGTTTCTCACAATTGGGGTCGCCTTTGTGGATAGTTTTCAGGAACACCAAAAGGAAACCAACCACCGAGGCGCCCCCAATTTTGAGAAGCATTCAAGAAGTTCCAACCTGAGGACCGCGTGCGTCCAGAAGGGAGGACAAACGGACTTCCAACCACCTGAGGACCAACCTGAGTCGCAGGGAGGCAAATCCGGACAACCCAACCCCATAAAACTCTCCCCTTAAGAGGGACACCAAGAGGATACCAAGAGAAGGAGAGTTTTTTCTCCGGGTTTCCCAGTGAACTGTCCCCAACACCGTGGGGTTTCCCCACCCGTCCAAAAAACTTCGATCCGGGGGTTCCGGGGCTCGGCTCGAGGCCTGGATGGCGGCCACCGCAATGCGGGAGCGCCACGGCATGGCCTGCGCCGCCATCCGAAATGCCGCGCCTCGACGCCTCGAAAGGGGGGGGGGGCCGGAAGGGGTGAGCGGTGGGGGGGCCTTCCTTTTTGTTGTACTTGCTTCAGCTCTGTACGTTCTTCATATCTTCACAACTTTTGAACCTTTTGAAGTAGTCCTCAAACATGGGAAAGTGGGCAAACCCTTCATGGTCTGGGAAAGGATCCCAGCGGCCTTTTTTCATTTCAAGCCTCTGTTGGCTTCCTTTGGGCCGTCCTTGGGCCCGGGCCGTCCTTCGTTTTGCCATCGAGGTCCGGGTTCGGAAAATTTGGGCTCGAAGGTCACCTTGGGTTTGTGTGAGTGTGGGCCCCATATGAATGAGCCCCAGTTTGCTCATGGAGGGGTGTTTTTGGGTTTGGTGGGGAATCATCACTTTCGGAGGGGAACACCCCCCTATGAATGAACTGGGGTTGATGCATTTCGGGGTAAGCATTGTGGATGGGTAGAGTTTTTTGTTTGAAGGAAAACTAAGAATAAAGCACAGAAGTTGTGGGCTTCGATTCCAGTTGCGAAGGGCTGTCACGAAGGCACCGTCGGCTTGCGACCCGACAGGGCACATGAAATGGGAGGATCGGAAAAGGGTGGAAATACATGGGAAAGCACACATACATACATACAGGGTCTGAAGTTTAGAATGGCCAGTGGGAATGAAGTTGCTTGGTTGATGGTATGTTTGAAGCGGGAAGCTCCCGGAAGTTGCAAAGCAGGAAAGGTTGATTTCCCTGCACTTCTTCACAGCCTCACTTTCTCGGTTTTGGTTTGGGGGCAAGGCCACTGGGAAAAAGGCTTGGGCATTTTGTGCAGCAGACTTAGGCAGTGAGCAGTTTATCCCACTCATCCAGTGCCATGTTTTGTCTTTTTTTGGGGGGAGGGGCTTGATGTCAAAACTCATTTGCTGTGAGCACCTCCCAAAAATGTACGAGTCGAAGACGGGAGAGGAGTCAATGTTTACCATCAAAGGCAGCTAAGGGAGCGACATTGAGCACACCCACTGCCAGGGCCAAGTGACCGGGGCATTCCTGCTCACCGAAACCAACCCAAGTGGGGGACACAACATTAATTGTCCGGGGAGTTTCGCGAGGAAATGGCCTGGCATACGACATTTTACTGGCCTGGACAAAAAAACGGGAAAACAAAATCCGCACCCATTTTCCAGCCTTATGGCAAATGCAACCATGGTGGGCGTGTCATGGAGAATCAAATGCTTGGTACCATATTCCTGGCGAGGAAGCAAGCCGTAGACATGTGTTGGTCTCCCTTTGGCCGCTTTTGAATGTGGCTTCCCTTCAGGCACACGCAATAGGACAGGTCACGCCCGTGCCTCCTAGCCATCTGGGTCCTTTCCCAATACTCGAAGGGTGATTCCATGTTTCCCTTTTTTGGCTGGTTTGTCAAGGTCCAAATTGCTTATGGGTTTTTGTTTCACATGGATCCCGTGGGTACAAAGGCAAAACCGCCCAGCTTGGCACCGCGCCCACATTTTCTGAGTGCCAACCAGCGGAGAAAAACAGAGAAAACAACAACATGCTGAGCTTTTCCCAGAAGGAAACCGCAAGGGGTAGGTATGTGGCATGCTTTTTCCCGAACTTCGAAGTAGCCCCGGGGTTTCGTTGGCCCATCAGGTGATGGACGCCGCGGGGGGCGCGAGTGGTGGCACCATCTACAGCGGCCTGGGCATGCTCACCCAGGATGTGGAGAGCCTTTGTCCAGGGTTCCATAGAAGGTTTGATCAAAGTTACCAGCCCATGGTTCTTTTGGGAGGGATATGAGGGGACACCAAACTTCTTACAGAAACCGGGACCCTCTTGTGCCAGCATTTAAAGTCCGCCCTGGTGCGCCCATGATTTTTCTCGTACCGGACTTGCCGAGTTTTCAACACATGAACAACATGCAAGACTCGGGTACCGATATAGAAGGGGTATCGGTATGTTTTGGGCCGCTTCTGGGGGTAATGTTTGCATCTTTTTGTTGTTTTTTTCTAATGTGCTGACCCGCAAAACACATCACCCTCCAAAATATTGTTTCTCGGGGGGGCCATTCAGGGCATTCTATGGTGCTGGACAGCCAGGGGACGGCGCTCGAATGGCAAACTTGGAAGTCACTTCTTTGGATTGTGAAGATGTCTTCCAACGACTTCTTGACCCTTCGGATGATTGTTGGTTTGCACTGAGCGCATCATTCCACAAAGGTGGCACGTACCGTGGCAGTGAGCAGAGCAATCTTTGATATCATTCTGGTTTAGTCTCTTTGCATCGATGGTCCAAAACCAATGCTTGGCGTCACAACGATGACTAGCGGCGTGGGGCTCGATAAGTCGTCACAGAAACAATGAAACCATATACATGAGTTCGTTCCTTTTGAAAAGTTTTACCTGCAACTTCCAGGTTTTGAGTGGTGGCAATGGGGCATTTTCAGCTTGAGCCCTGACAAAGGGATTTCTCGCGCTGGTGAACCACCGGCCTGGAGGTGCCCTAGAAAAGTTCAGCTGCTGATCCATCTTCGAAAAGCCCGGATTTCCAGCAGGGCCCTTTCTATTTTTCCGCAGGCGGTGTTTCTTTCAACCCTCAAAAGCCCCATGGCCCTTTTTGCAAGTGGCCACTGCCGCCACCAGCGACCAGACGTGAGTGCAGTGGATTCCGCCCTCCAATTTGTGTTGGAAAGTGGAGTGTTTCGTACTGGGTGTCCTCATGTGTTTTTAGCATTGGAAGGACAGGGTCCTGGCCCCCAAATCTTCAATACACCTCCAGACAGATGAGTCCTCACTAATGTTTTAATTTCTGTCGGGTGCGAGTCTGAGCAGCTTATCACCAAAGCTAGCTCCTTAAAAGGGAAGTTTTCGTTTACCTCAGCTTGCTGAGAAGGGGCGGTCGAAAAGCTTGAGTTAGGCATTGGGGCCTGAATTCTCGCTGGTTGTGAGGGTCGTGGAGGGGGTGGGGCAACCCCCCCCCCCCGCCACCCCCTTGTCAGAGATGTTGCCCTTGGGGGGGGAGAGGGCCCCCCCCCCCAAAAGGGCTGATATTTCAGGCGCGCCCAGTGAGCTCAAATCCACCCTGGACCACCTCCGCTGGGGGTAGTTCCATTGGCTCGTTCGGTGTCAATAGATGTTTGAACTTTTGACTCGCAGACCAAATAATCAACGCCATCCATCCATTGTAAAGCAAAACGCGATTCTGTGTGTAGACGTGTTATAAACAGCCAGTTCTAGTTGCTCAATGTGGAACGCAGGAATCCTAGCGATAACCCCAGGGCCATCTTTGATTCGAGAGACCCCGCGCACCTGTTCAATCACTGAAGCTTTTACCCACTACCCGCTTCCCAAAAAATTGAAGATGAACAATGCGCTTTGTTGATTCTTAATCCCACAAACTTTTGATTCAAGAATCCCCACGCACCTTTTCCAACACAGAAGCTTTTACCCACTACGCGTTCCCAACAGATTAAGATGAACAATGCGCTTTGTTCATTCTTACTCCCAGGGCCATCTTTGCTTCAGGAGAACCCACACCGTTTAAACACTGGAGCTTTTACCCGCTACTTTAACCACTACACACTTCCCTACAGATTAAACATGAACAATGCGCTGTGTTCGTTTTTAATCCCAGGGCCATCTTTGATTCAAGGGGCCCCACACACCTGCTCAAACACTGAAGCTTTTACCCACTACGCGTTTCCCGAAAGATGAAGATGAACAACGCGCTTTGTCCGTCAATCCAAGGGCCGTCTTTGCTTCAGGAGACACCACACACCTGTTTAAGCAGTGAAGCCTTTACCCGCTACATTACCCACTACGCGCTTCCCAAAAGATTAAAGATGAACCACGCGCTTTGTTCAGTCTTAATCCCAGGGCCGTCTTTGATTGAAAGCAGCATTGATTATCGGGTTGCGGATTGTGCGGTTTACGGATTAGCTCATTCGGCTTGCGGACTGCAGATTATGGTTTGCGTGGGTTTTCGATGCAGATGATGGGTTGCGGGTATTGGATCAGGTTGTGTCTTACGCTTGGCGCAAGTATGACACCCTTCGGAAACGACTCAGATTATTTCAATCGCCATTTTAGAGGCTAACTTGGCTACATGGCTGCAAAAGATAAGGCCAGATTGCCCTGCAAGAGGCACAAGCGAAACGACACGCAATGAGATGGCATGAGTGGAGGCCAGAACTGACCACGGACACGCCGCATCACGCCGATACCTTGCCACACGCTAGCTTTCGTTCCCTGCTTCTCAAGTAGATGTTTGCAAAATTTTCTGATCATGGCTTCATTTGGGATTAAAATGCCCGACAAGGCCGTTCTGATTCTTCAGGCCTTTGCATCAACTCAAGGAATGCTAGGCGGCCAGCGGGCAAAGGGGGTGGCAGAGTTGAGCCGAGGAACAAAGCAGCGATGATGGATCCTTACGGCAGCTCGGCCTTTGGCTGAATGTCGACTTTCGACAGGGTTCCCTAAAATATGGTCCCAATCTTTCCCCTTTGGTGGTTTGAAGCGTCACCTTGTTGTGAAAAGTGAGAACCTGGCTGACCTCTGCGATGTCCAAAGCAAATTGGGACCTCTTCAACCTTTTGCTTTGCACAGTTTGGTGCTTTCTTTGTCAAGATCGAGACCATTGATGTCTCAAGTCTTTGGACGCGTGAGTACAGGGATCCAGCCATTGAACGGGCCAACGGAGAGTTGATCACGTTTGGCAGGCGGCAACCATGGGCGTTTTGCAACATGTCACCTGCGTGATTGGGCAGGTGAGCACAACCGGAAATTCCAGCCACACCCCAAGCACACCCTAAACGCACGACACACACTGAACACACCCTGACCCAGCCCAAGCAAACCCCCCAAACCATATCTCCTTTTAGGTTAGCCGGACTAGAAATAGCTGGCACTGGTGTAGATGGGTTTTATTTCATGTACCCTGGCCAGGTCCCCCCGTAGTGCCCTTTTACCCTTTTTGGGCTGGGAGGGTTCCCCTACTAAAATAGACTAAACAAAAACAAAAACGGGTACCTATTTATTCTAAGCTCTCAAATCTGGAGGACCTAGACCATATGTGCCGCCGGCTGGCTAGGCATGGACCCGCCGGATGGCCAGCGGGGCCCGGACACCGCGGACGGGGGCACTACGGATCTGCCGCGCTGGGACGAGCTGCAGGAGAAATGGCTCATGATCTCCCCGCGCCACGGCAGACCATGTTGGGTTTGCTTCCCATGGGTGTGGCTCGAAATTCGAGAGCTCGGGCTACGCAGGTTTTAGTCTTTGGTTCCATGTACCAAGGTCATTTGACCCACAGCCACATGTCCCTGGCCATAGATTGCTATCACGTGGCTTTGATGTGGGTTTGAAGAGCACCCTTTTGGGGCCAATTTGAGTGGCAACCCTTTGGGTTGGGTGATGTTTAAAGGGGAGGTACAGGGATCCCTGTTTTGTTGACGTCTTCCAGTTGTTCAGTGGCACCCTGTAAATGTCAGTTGGTTTGGGCTCTGTGCGCAAAATGGCCAAGATTTGGCTAGCTGGCTCTGAGATTCTCAGGGGAGCACAGGCTTTCGGAATGAACCTTGGGATTCCGTAAGCCACAGGGGGCATCCCTGACCCAGCAAGTTCGTTGACCCCGATGAGTCAATTAGGGAAGCAACGCAAGGTCCTCAAAGCCACAGGGAAAAGCCATTCTGGTGGGCGGGGGCTTGGATGCATCCACCAACCCAGTTCATAATCAGGGGGTTTTCGCGGAATTGAATGCCAAAAAGGGACCCCGCTCAGGTGAGCGATGGTGAGAGGGTTGAACCAGCCAACAGGAATGTCGAAGGGCTGTTTAGAAGCTACCCTTCTTTAGCAGAGAAGCAGTCATTACCAATGCCAGCTGTTTGGCAACGGAGGGATCAGCAAAAGCGGCTTAAAGGACTGTCAACCTGGTGTAGTTGTCACGTGGGACATGAAATGGCGCATGCTTTGTAGTTCTGCTGTGCCGAAATTCCATGGAAAGTTGAATAGCTGTGCAACCCAATGAAGAAGAAGAAACATACCCTCCTCCTCATGCACTCTATGGTCAAAGGGAAGCACATGCCCATAGGCAAGCCAAAGCCACACAAAGATGAACAGAGAACTAGTTGGTCCAGCCCAGTCCCGCATTGTGGCTGTTTAACCGGCTGAGCCAACCATTCGATAGATTCCAGCCATGTTTTGTTTGTCTGGGGCAGATAGCACCCTTCGAGATCAAGGTTGGCCAAACACCTGGTCGAACTTCCTGTGGCTGGTTGAGACCGGGTTTTGTTTCACCTACCTTGTCGCGAACGAGTTTCGTAACGTGAGGCTGTCGAATCCCAGTTGCAGAACTGTGCGCCGCAGCAACGCTTTGCTGGGCTACCCCTACGGCCAAGGCTTGAGCCCCCTGGAATAACCTGATGGATTCAAGCCCAAATGATGGGGCGCCCGTGGCGTATCCCTCCTAGGTCCCCCCAGTAGTGCCCTTTCGCATCCTATTTTGGGGGGAGGGTTCCCCTACTAAAATAGACACCTAGTCTTCACGCTGTTTGAATTCATCCAATTGTGGATGGCATGGCAGGGAGGCACGGTGAAGATCGCGATGGGGGTTATCTGAGACTCCGACCATTCAAACGTTGTTGATAGTTTGCCGTTGGTTTGGTCGGGGCATGGGGGCCACAACACGTTCCCGGCCGCAAACAAAAAGGGACCAATCCAGGACAATGGCCTTGGTGAAGGAAGGTGTCTGAACGGGGCATTCGGAACCGTCTCGCACCAAAGCAGGCTTGCTTGTCTCAGGCACCGTAGCCAGTATATTTCTTGCAGTCGGCGCGTTCCTCATGTGTGGGTGCGTTCCCTCATCCGCCAGCAAACTGCATGGATGTTCGAATTGCGGGTAAACGCACTTGAGTTGTCTTTGATGTAGGTGTGTCTTTCTTGAAGGTCCTCTTTTTGGCTGTCTTAAGGGAAACCAAGCAACCAACCATTTTGGGGGTTCCCAATGTTAAGACACATCTGTGCGAGCCTCTGATATTTGCTGTTGGCTGGCAGGCAATGGGAGAGCGAGTTAGAAGGGTCTAGTTGGAGAGGGTCCATTTTAGCAAGACATCCCCCAACTTACCGGAGCGAAGTGGTTTAAAGCGAAACCACCGCCTGAAACGCCTTGTTGAAAAGAGCTCAACAGCTTGTAGTGTCCCTTCCATGTGCTCGCACTGGCGGGGCTGGATTGTTGCTTTTTCGGTTCCTTCATTTCGCTTTCGACCAGTAGGCTTGGAGTTTCACAATAGGGCTCAACATGTTCGCTTTTTCAGTTGCATGGCAAGTCACTGGCTGGAAGATTGTCTTCACGGATGGGATTGCCCACAGACCTGGCTAATGAGTGGATGGGAGGGTTTTTATCGTTTTTGCATTTTTGGGACGCCCAGTGCAACTCTTAGCATGCCTCTTCCGTTTTTGTTTTGTTTGGCTTTGGGCTTTTACGTGGAAAAACGGGAACAAGTTCCTGAGGCTATGGGGAGGGCATTGTGGTGCCGGGGCCCGTCAGCGGTTGGCTTGGCACCATGGCGCTGGGCTTCATGGTGGGCTCTCTCTGCTGGGAGCCTCAGTCTCAGGGCTCGGGGAGGGGAGTGGGAAGGGTCTCGGGTACATGCGGCCCCGTTTTAGCAGGGCTCCTCAAAAAGATCTCCATTTTGCAACAACCCTTCCGTGCAATTGGGCCAAGGCAAGCCAAAGGGACGACCTGGCCATTGTAGAGGATGGGATCCGGACCCTCTTCAGTTTCCAAACAGTGTTTTTGTTTCTTTCTGCCGAATGTCTTTGTCATTTAAACTGGTGCTAGGCACTCAACTCAGCAGCACGTTGCCATTTACGGGGACTCGTTGAGAAACACCCATAGGCATCACAACTGCTGCTGCCCCTACAAAGTGATTCTTTCAGGGCATCCGTATGGTAAGGCTCAAACTTGCTTCTAATTCGAAAGTAAAACTGATAGTTTTTGTTATGTTTTGACCAGACGCACGCTGATAGTTTTTGTTATGTTTTGTTTCGTTTTAGTCCTACCATCCGCTAGGTAGACAACCAGCTGTGGTAAAACCGGCCACTCATGATGAAGGTCCGTCACTTGATCGTTCCTGATCTCAGCTTTGGGAATCATAGAAATTCACCCACTTAATATGGATGTAATTCGCTTTGTCTGAATTTGTATAGCACCATGGGGTTCCCAAGTGGCATTCAGTGATTCAGCTCACCTACCCCTCCCCAGAAAATAACATACTGGTAGTTGTCCAACGTGGTTTACCTGGGCAGCTCCCTTTGGCCAATCGTCAGTCCATGTTTTCCATGGCCCCGGGCCGGCTACGAGGGAGGAGGTCTAAAAACCAAAACACACAGTCAGTAACAACGAGTCCGGTGCACATCCGCAAAGGTTCTGCCTAGCGCCTTTTTTTCACACCTTTCCCATGTTTCTTTGGAAACAAATGGCCAGGATGTAAAGGGCGAACGCAGGAATCACGTCGTGGTGGGTTTGTTGGGGCGTTGTGGGGAAGGCCCGGGGCCGCTGGTCAAGATCATTTGAAACCGGGACCCTATTTGCAGTCTACCTAAGGGCTAATGCAAGAAATGCACTTAGTACATTCTGAGAATCACGACTAAACTTGGTTTTAAACTCCCCATTCTAATTCTGTCACCCCTGGTATAAAAATATCAAACTAGGGTCCCCCAGTAGTGCCTTTCTCACCCCTTTTTTGGTTGGGAGGCTTCTCCTACTAGAATAGACCAAACCGAAACAAAGAATTGGTCCCAACTTATTCTATTCACATCTCTCACATCTGGACCTAGAAAAGCCTTGGGAGGTTTCTACCCCTGGGCCCTGGGGCCGTTTCGACGGCGTCGGGTCGTCAGATTTCCCGCCCACGCGCTGGGCGCTGAAGCGCTGGGTGCTGCCTGAGCCGGGGCAGGGGCCCTCCAGGAAGGCGATGGAGGCGGGGGGTCAGGGGAGGGGTCAGGGGAGGGTCAGAGCAGGGGGGGGGTTGTTTTTGTTGTTTGTTTTGGTTTTTTGGGGGGAGAAGGGATCCGTTTTTTTTTTTTTTTACTAGGGCTGGTCCGTTGGTTGGTTGGTTGGTTGGTTGGTTGGTTGGTTGGTTGGTTGGTTGGCATCACCAGCCTCACTAGCCCTGGGGCCGCCTATTGGCTCTGATTGGGTGGCAGTTTGGAGTTGCTGGGGTCTGGTTTAAGTTAGGGGGGCTTTGGCGGGCTTTAGATCTTCATGAGGGCGGGTCTTGCGGTGGTTTGGAGTTGATTTAGGCGAAGCGAAGGACTGACATCCGGGCTGCTGTTGGGCGGGTTTAGGGTTGACTTTGAGTGGGTTTGGGTTGGTTTGGAGCTGATTTGTGTTAGGTGTGCTGCTGGTTTAGCATCGGCTTTAGGGTTTTAGGGTGTGGTTAAGTAAGTTTTGGTCTCGTGTTGGATCGGTTTTGGGCGTTGCCCCAAACCACCAAAACTCGCCCATAACTCAGGGCCAAGTGATGCTGGTGATGCTGGGGATGTTGCCAACCCTGCGGAAAACCAGCCCTAGGAAAAAACCAGCCCTAGTAACAATAAAAAAACACCGTTACCGGGGGAGAAGTACTGTTTTTAAAGGGGAGGCCAAAGTGCTTGGCGGTTCCCATCCGTCGCCTTAGGCTTTTACTTGGGGTCTTCGGCTGCGAAGCACTTTCAGTGTCGGGAGCGTTGGAGGTGGCGTGCGCTGGCTGGCTATTGGATTAACACAACCTCGGCAATGAGGTTATTTTGGCTGGCATGGCTTGCAGGCGTCAGTACTTGCTTGACTTTCCCGCCCAACCTCGAAGTGGTAAGCAGATGTTGCGCCGCAAGATGCAAGCCTATTTGGCATTTCACTGCAGCTCGCATCCCCTAACTTGGTGAGGGCCTGGGTGATTGCGTTGGAGAAAGAGTCCCCGCCTACGGGCCTATTCGTGCTCGCACCGGTGTTGGTGAGGGTTTGAGGGACGGCTGCCACACACACACACACACACACACACACACACACGCATTAGTTTTGTTCAAGCAGTTGGGGCCTGCAACGGGTGTCGCAAGAAGAGCTCTTGAAAGGCTGTGCTTGGCCATTGGTTCCCGTTCCAAACCGACCTTCGCTGGCCCGGCCCCTTCCGTCCCCGCACGCCTCTAACTGAAGTCTGCAACGTTTTTTGTTCTTCCTTTTTTTTTCATGGGCCCTAGTCCAATACGGACTGGAATCTGAGCATGCCACCTATAACTGAAGTCTGCAACGTGTTTCATGGGCCTTGGTCCAATACGGACCGGAATCTGAACATGCCGTGGTTTTGTGTACCTCTCACCTACCGTTCGATCCTCATTCCGGAAAAATTATTGGCCATGTTGGCTCCCCCCATTTGGGTCGAGAAAGCTCATGCAGGAGGGGCGCTTCACCGTGCGGGCGGTGGCACTGGGCGAAAAAGCAAAGAGCGACGGCCAGATTCCCAAGGTGGTAGCCAAGGACACCCGGTGGGGGGGTTCTGGTCCAGGGCTTCCCCTGCAAATTGACATGGGCCAAAGGAGGTTCCGCTACAAATATGTATGTTTCATATCAATCTGCAAGAGCGTACCTTTGATTCAACACATTGTTGGGGAGGCGGCGGGGAATACTCGAAAGAATGGAACTGGAATCTGTTTTGAAATGGACTGGAATCAAACGCAAAAATGTTTACCCCTGATTGGTAAGGCGCCCTCCCCCCCCCAAGTCAAGGTCGAGAAGGTTTGGACAAGCCCCCACAAGTGAGATGTTTTGGAGGACCCCCGAATTGACTCGGAGCTCCTTTGGCCCTCATCCTTGTGTTTCTGGCCCGTTCCCAGCCAATTCATTTTTTGTGTATTGATCCTAAAAGGGCACGGGGGCTCCCCTTTGTGAGCTTGAAAGCCTTGTAAACTCTACAAGAAAAGCATTTTGGGAGAAGCATAGTTTTGGAAAAACTTGAGGGCTTCAATAGTGGCTTGGTATTGGTGGGAGCACTGGGGGGTCGGCCATCCTGGCCCGCTCTAAGCCTCCCTCGCCGGATGTGTATGTAGATAATCCCGTCCCATTTGGGAGGCTTTAAACACGAATTATCCTTCCGAGAGGCCTCCCAAATGGGACGGGATTATCTATATGTAGGGGCTGCAGCGGGCTACATTTTTTCGGGGCGGCCCAAACCTTGTTTGGGTAGTGATCTTTTGGCAAACCTTGTTGGCCCTTTAGTATTGGTGCGAATCTGGGGGGGAAACCGGGACAACCTGGAATCACGTGACGGGGCGATTGCCAATCGTGCACAGCTCCGTGGATTCCAAGCTTCAAAGCCTGAGCTTTTCCCGGCTGGGGCACTTCCTGTTGTCGAGTTAAGAGGTATCGGAATTCCAGAATGTGTCTTTCGCACTTCGAGACTGGCCCGCGTTCCAGGAACTGGTGGCGTCAGGAAAGACATGATGAGTGAATGAGCTGAACACAAACGACACGACATGAAATGAGGGAACGAAATGTAGAAAGTCAACAAGAAAGATTGGACAGAAAAGAAAAGAGAAAGAAAGAAAGAAAGAAAGAAAGAAAGAAAGAAAGAAAGAAAGAAAGAAAGAAAGAAAGACACACAGACAGACAGACAGACAGGCAGACAGGCAGACAGACAGACGGACAGAAAGGAAGGAAGGAAGGAAGAAAGAAAGAAAGAAGGAAAGAAAGACAGAGAAACAGAAGGACACAAACGAAAGACAATGAAATAGAGAAAGAACGACAGACACTGAAATACCGAAAGAAAGCAGCGAGCAGGCAAGCAAGCAAGCAAACGAACAAACGAAGGCAAGCAAACAAACAATCAACCAACCAATCAAACCATAAAGCACAAGACCCACGACACACCAAACGTCAGGTGCCCCAGCCACGTTCGAGAGGTTGATAGCGTCAATGCGGGGGACCCTGGGTACAAGGCCACAGCCCTGATGTCCGTGGAGACCGCCCCTTGGGCTTCCACCAGTGCGGCGAAGCCGTTGGGAGGACCTGGGCCCCTGTTAAGTCTTCGGTGGGACCAACACTTGACTCCCAGGCATTCGGTTCCTTAGCCTTTTAGCCTTTTAGCCTTTTAGCCTTTTGGCCTTTTGGCCTTATAGCCTTTTAGTGGTAGTTTCCATTTATCCCACTAAAAGTTAAACTTTTAGGGGATCTGAGAACACCCCAAAAACACCGGCCCTTAGATGTGTGGTGCACACAGGGCGCAATGGGGGCTTACACTCCCTTAGGCCTTTTGGAAATAGTATGGGCTTTCCAGTAAGTCTACGCAGGGTTCGACCTTTTGCGAAGAAAGGAAGGGCAAGCCAATTGGCTTCGCTGTTCAGCTGTTTGCACTTTTGGTGTTCAATATGTGCCCTTCAACTGGCAAAAGTTAACTTCGCCCGACGCTATCTCGTGATGTTGCTGGGCATGAGGGCGTGGGAAGCAACTGGTGACTTTGTGCAGTTGGTCTCAGTCTGGCCGTCTGACATGGGGTGTGGGCTGGCCATGCCCCATGGGATGTAGAAAATCCCGCCAGGCACCAGTTCGGATAGATGACCATCCCACATATCGGGTACGAAGTGGATTTTGTCCATCAACAGTAAGGAATGCGCGTGTGAAAGCAAATCGCGCAACCCCCTTTGTGTGGGCAAAGGGGATGAGGAGTCAAACAAAATGCGCTCATTTGTTCTTATGGGTATGTAAATGGGATGACGATTCGCTTTATGTGTTTATGTGGTAAAGGGGATGCCGCACAACCAAAATAGGGAACTGTGTTTACTCTCGCCCACCAAGGTGGGTAAACCCATGGTTGATTACTAAGTTGTGGCCATTTTAGAGACCACCACTGACAGCTTGACTCGCAACTTCACAAGCAGGGGAGGAACAACGTGAGTTGTTAGTATCGCTTGAGAGGGGTTTCCGTTAAAATCCACCAACCCGCCAGGGGCGGGGGGGGGGGACATTTTGCCATGGCATTCCATTCGATCAGCGTCGTGCGCTTGAGACCCAGGCCCTGTGCTGCGCGCTGGAGCGGGGCCGTTGCGCGGAGGGGGGGGTGATGACCCCCGCAGCCGGCCTGGGGCAGGCGGATCGGGTTCGACTGGGTGGGGTGTTCAGAGAAGAAGTGTAGGCACACCTACATTGCAGATGTGGTGGAATCACAAACTGGCCCCAGGTGCATTGCTCGCCTCTATCCACCGAGTGTTCCTTTTTTCTGTTGTTTGCGGGTTGGGGAGGGGGGGATTTACACATCAACACTTGTACCAAGCTTGGCCTTTGGCATTAAAAAAGGTATGGGAAGAATCTTGGATTCGGTTTCTTGGGATTCAGGTGCTTTCTTCAGCTCTCTCGGCGATTCCCATACCCTTGGAGCGAAAAGGTTTGCGGTTAGCGGGATGTGCGGTACGTACCCCGCAAGTCTAGCTAGCAAAGGGACAGACCAGAAGGACATGGTTGGTCCCTGGAGGGGGTAGATGGGTTATATGCACATATATATATATATATATATGTATATATAGACATACGTGTGTTTGTTTGTTTGTTTCTTTGTTTGATTGTTTCTTTGCTTGTTTTTGAGGGAGTTATTCCTGTTTTTGTCCAGGTCCACATGGATAAATGTTCAACATCCTTCATCCCTCCCAAGAAGACCCACCCAGTGCAGCTTTCGGATCAATTTACTGGCCAGGTGCTGGTGGACCGCCTGAACGCGGCAGGCATGAAGCTGGAAGTGGAGCCCTGAGAGTCTCAACCAAGAAGCCCCCCAAACAGAGCCAACTACGGCAAGCGTACAGGCCTGGCCAAGCTAGGGTTTAGCCCAGCGGCCTTTAGGCTTTGCTTAGCGGCGTTTGTGGTTTTTGCTCAGCGGGCTGCGGCGAAGCCGCTTGGGTTCGCAGCCCGGCTGAAGTTCACGCTCGCTGCACCCCAGGAACTTGCTTGTTGTTTGTGGATTGGTGTGGATGGTTAGTTTCTGTGGGGGCTTCGGGCCCTGCAAAGCGAGCTTGCGGGATGGTTCCTGAGTGGGATTTGATCAACGACGGCCCTGCTTTGTTTGAGCGGAATTTTCTGAGGGTGCAGGCTGCTCCTTTGTTTTCCCGCTGTGCTTTTTCGCAGTTGGAACAGATTCGACTGCCATAAGCTTCAGCTGCCCTTGCACAGAAGTGCGACCATTACCAGGTTTACATCATACCCCGCGCCCTTGGCGTCACAGGCCGTCGGCGGCAAATTGATTGACAGATGCGCGAACAAGAGGGCGTGGTTGCGAGAAGAGCCTTTACGTGCTTTGCCCCGCATGTAAGGAGTACCAAACAACTGAGGCTGTTTCATTGAACCAGTGACCCCTGACATGGTTCCTCGTCACAGCTGCATGGTTCCACAGTTTGCGGAAATCCCACCCCCACGTGATCAACAGATTTGCCGATGTTCTTGTCCAAGTGAGTTCCATTTTCGGGCCATACACCAGGTGTCAATACTAGCTATGTGATGCTTTAATTACTTGGCAAAGACGCCGCGCTCGTTTCGATAGGCTGCAATTTGTTGCATGCTGTGCAGGGATTTCAGGTAGATGCAAATAGGCTGGAATCCCGTTTGGAATGCAGCATAACTTACCCATCCAGTTGCCATGGTAGGTAATCGGGGTTCCTTACCTCTAGGTTGAACACATGGTTTCCCCTGGCTACCTGCCCCACAAAAAAACGGTAACTCCAACTATCACCTTTGAATGAAATTCAATCGGGTTAGTCCCCGATTGCACAGTGCGGGGATGATATATGACTTTCTAGGGGGCGCAGACCTGGAATATTCCGGGGACACGTGGGACTTTAGCAGCCCAGCCCAAGGCAATCAAATCCCTCGTTACACTCAGAGCGAGGGCCGGGGGGCGGGGGGGACGACAGCTGCGGAGTTGCAAAGGGCCATGGGATCCGATGCATTTGGCTCAAAGGCGCTGTGGCAAACCTGCTGAAGTTGGGCCTTCTACCTATTGGCCCCAACCGCCTTAGCCCCATTTAGCCGCCGAAAAAGACAAAGCAAAAACACAAAGCCCACCCAAATTGGACCGCTGCTTCCGTCCGTTACGCCGTTCCCTCGGCATTCGCCATGGCTCGCGGCGTGCTGGTGGTTTTGGTCCTTGCGCCAGTGGCTGGGCATGTGGAGATCTAGATCGAAGTTTGTCTCACTACATAGTTCGCCATGGGTTAACCAAATCGGTTAGCCCCCAGTGAACATCCGATTCAATCCCACCACTAAAATAGGTTCTAAAATGGCTGGTGAATTCACCTACCCCAAAATGGTACCATTGGTTTTGACCCACAGCCATATTTGGCTACGGACATTGGAGCCAAGGGGCCAGGGATTTATATTTAATCATGGGGGGCTAAAGATCTCATTCGATCTCGTTTTCCATTTTAGGTGGCGGGCGATTCAAAGAAGGCTGGCCCCTCACGGCAGACAAACAGATGCGAGGGAGCATCGCATCATAATGCACGTTCAAATAGGTGTGTCTCAGGCTAGGGCTACTTCCAAAGTGATGGGTTTCCTTTAAGTCAAGGTAAACAGGGCACCCTAAAAGACACCCAGATTTGGGGAAATCTCCAATGGTTGGCTTTTGTTGGCTTCTATCAAAACAAGCTCGGATGAGATCCTCACAGCATCTCTCCTCCGCCCAGCTGCCCCGTTCATGCCCGGGACCCCAGAACTGCCAAGCCCCCCTAAGCCAGAACCGCAAGTTGCGTCCCAGAACCGTCCCGGCCCGGAGCCTTGTGGCTGGGCAAAAAAACATTGGAGTAGTTTGGTCACTTGAGCTTGATACTCAGACTGACGCAGACTGGAAAATCGAAGACATGGGAAGTTCCTGACGACCATCGTGTCTCAGAATTTCGCATTTTACTTGGGCTTCGTTTTGGGGAATTGGGGAAGAGCAACGCGGCATTGGGCATCCGAATCAGGCATGGTGTTTCTGTCATAGCCACTAAGCATTGAAGAAGGTTAGTTGCCATCTCAGCTGTTCAACGCCCACTTTTGAACTCTTTTGGTTTCCCTTTCTGGCCAATTTTTCAGGCTACCAGGTTTTGGGTCTTGGCCCTTCCCCTGTTTTGCGGTTTTGTTCGCCGGGCAATTTTCTAGTACGCGCTCCGACGCTCTCTTTCTCTGTCTGTTTCGTTCTTGTGGCTTCTCTCTGTCTCTCTCTCTCAAGGCCCTCGCGCTAGTCGCTTGTGGGGCCGGTTGGAAAGGATTTAGATACACAGCCGCCTGATGTTTATCAGACATCCTGCAGCTTTGCTCCGAAAGTGGCATTGCGGGGTGCCACTCCTTTCTCCTCAAGGTATTTTTGCCGCGCCTGAGAATGTGTATGTAGGACTATGAACGGCAAACCAGCCGGGGGGTGGAGGGTTACACCCTCGTAAAAGCCAAACCAGGTGGCGAAGTAAGTCCCCGCAGAAGATTTTGGGCTCGTTTTCGTTTCGGTCGCTGCAGTTGCCCAAGGCACTTTGCTTTTGCGGCGGCTTGGGGCGCAGCGTCGGCTGCCAGCCACGGCCCCGCCACCTGAGGGCGGAGGCGTGTGGCCAAGACAGCTTGCAGCTCTGGGCAATTGTTTTCGCGGGCCCACCTGTTTGTGTGGAGCGGAGCGTGCTCACCCATGAAGTTCCCTTCCTTGGGGTTCCTATAATTTCCAGTGGGGGGTAGTGATTTGCCCAGATCAGCTTGACGGAGTCGCCTTGTCGTTTGATGCATCGGCATGCTGATTTGCTATGCTGAACAGCGCCATGCAATACTTTGCACTTTGCCTCGGTGTACGCATAGTCATTGATGGTGTCTCTGGGTCCGTAAAATGGGTTGGTTCCTTTGGGTTTCCCCGCGGCCACCCATTGTCACGGACAGCACCCTCCCGCCTTCCTAGTGGTTCAAGCGTCGCTTTGGGTGGGGTGAGGCTTAGTTGCTGACTACCTTTCTTTCTGCGAGCCTTGCAAGTAGCCAGATGAAGTTTCTGACCATTGATGAATCCATTTTTGGAGCCTGTTGAGCTGAGTGTGCTGAACCCCCATTCATGAGGCTCTTGGTTGTGGCTTCCGGAGACATACATGATCAGCGCTCGATGAAGCCGTGGTTTTTTCGCGCAACTCGCTTCTAGGGCAGTGTGAGGAGTCGTATTGGAGTGCTAGGGAGCGGTCCTGTCAGCCGCAGTTTTCTCATAGGATCGGTGCAGCGCATGATTCTCAGGGGCGAGAACCAGGCGGTGTTTGCAAGGAAGCCGGTCTTTTTGAGAGTACCCTTTTGAGAGTACCCTTTTGATAGGGTATCCAAGTCAGGTGTTCATATGGCCCACTTTGGCATACTGTCCACTAAGATTGGTTTGGTTTTTGTGGGGATTCCTTTGCCAGCCAGTTGTTGGAAGGCTTTGGAGCAATCCTTTAGACATTAGAGCCCTTTTGCGCCCCGCATGGCAGCGCCGGACGCTCGCTGTTCAGTGGGAGGGTTGTTGTTTGAAGGCTTGCAACTGGGCACGTCCCAGCCCAGTTTTGGCATCCAAAAGGTATCATAAGGGGATTTGGACGGAAGATAGAAAAAATGATCGGCACAAAACTGCCCAAAGGCAAAGGCTGAAATGGACTCCGCGTCAGGATGGAAAGGGTTTCTTCGACGAGGAGGCAGGGGGGTTTGCTCGAGCAAATGCCCGCGAGCGATTCCACCGATCCGTGGGCAAAACGATTTCAAAGTGAAGGTGAGGGGGTTGGAGTTTTGAGAAAACTTGATGGTGGGCAAAGAGGCCCTAATCCATAGGGTTCTGTTGGACATGCACTAGGTACAGTACCGTCAAGGATAGTAGCGTCACCATGCCACGTCTGAATGCCATTTGCGGGCGTTTCCTGTGTCAAGGCGTTTGGGATAATTTGCGAGCGATTCCGTCAATGCGGAGAATTACTAGAAATTCCTCGATTGAATTGGAAAAACAGCAAGCCAAAAAGCGGTGTTTTACTTGTAGGTCATGCCCAGAAGTTTGTACGTCCAAAACTTGCGGACCCCTTCGCGTCAAACTTGCGGACCCCTTCGCGTCTCTTCGCATCCGGAATTGACCTGCGTAGCTGGTTTTTGAATCGGGCATGTCCGAAGCAATCATGTACATGTACGTGTAAGTCAACACCCGTGCTAGGGTGATTTCCATTACCAACAGCGAAACCGTTTGTTTCACGAAAACATCTGAAAATTGTTGCGGCACAATTGACATGGATATGAACATATATATATATATATATGTGATATGGTACCGTGTCCCCTGTTCTCACAAACCCTGAAGCCCCCCTCCCAAGACCCAAAGCCTAAACCCACGTATACCAAGCTGAATCGACCCTAAACCAACTCTAAACCAGCCCTTGACCTAAAACCACCCCAAACCAACCCCAAACCAACCCTAAACCAACCAGAACAGACTCGGAACCCCCGAAACCCAAAGAACCGAATCTTCGGCACCCCCGACAGCTGCCCCTCGCACCCCTCGCAGGCGCCGGACTGGCGTGCCGGCATCGCGGGGCGCCGGGGATCCCTCACGTTCCTGGGGGCCCTGTTTCTGGTGATCTGCTACATCTTCACCAAGGCCGGCGTGTTTTCTGAAAGGGGGGAATGCCCACCTCTGATGAATACTTACCCCCCCCCCCTCCGAACACCCCCCCCCCAAAAAAAAAAACACTGAGACCAAGTACTAGTCGTAGGTGAACATTAAAGAGCCCTTTCAGATCGGTTGAACCAATCCAAGGGCGTTTGGCTTGAGACAATGGATCCTACAGGTCGGCTGTGGGCCCCAACCACCATCCCTGCGTTTTGTGTGCCTTCCGAAGCGGTCCCTTAAAGTCGTAACTGATCGTGAGTGACTTGCCGTAGGTTCAAAAGGTACATACAACAAGCTCGCTCAACATGGTGCAGACACAAACATCGCAACCATGCGTTCGAGCTTGATCCGTGGCCTATATGACTCGTAGTTGTTCAATGGAGTTTGGTTCCCCTCAAGCTTTCCCAGAGGGCCCCTGAAGCGGTTAAGGTACATTACCAGGGTAGAGACCTGGAGTTTTTCTGCCGAGTGTTGATCGAGTATTCAATCTCACCATGCAATTTGAAGGCCTGGTTTGCATGGCTGGGGGTGGTTTTGTTTTTTCTTTTTGTTTCAGTGTTGCCATCCTTTTGTGAAGAAAGAAAGGAACGTCTTCAAAGTGACAAAGCAGTAGAGAGGGTGGATTCCCACAAGACTGTCAGAAAGTCAGACCGCCTTGAGCTCTGACTTTCTTCAATCTTGACAGCCTTGCAGATGGGTTCCTTTTGGTGTGGAGTTAAGGCAACAAGGGCTCCAAGACTTAGGGCCTTGGGCTCGAAATCCAATTCCAGACGGCAAGCGCTCTAAAATTATTGAACCCGCAAAAAAGGCGTCGCCCTTTTCTTCCATTAAGCAAGAAAACACGGAGGGTCTGCGGCAAATTCTGAGAACGTAATGCCTTCAATGTTTCAATGTTTGATTTTGCCCTCTGAGAGAAGCCTGGCCAATGGGACATGCCAAGGACGAGGAGGTGAGGAACTTGAAGCTCTGCGTGCGCAGCAAGCAGTTCGAGAAGGCCGTTTTTTTTTCTTCTTTTTTTCTTCGGTGCCCCCAATTTGCCCCTCGTCCCTGAAGTCGTTTTCCAGGTTCATAGGGAAGGAGGGAAAGATCGAAAACGGCAGTCTCGCATAGTCATAGGGGGGAATTTGGTTCAATCATGCCCCTGAGAGCTTTATTCTTATTATTTGGGCCTTAAAATATGTCATTTAGGGCTTTTGGACATGTTTGGCTTGCTGAGCCAATGCATGTCTCTATGTCCCTGCGCAAATTCCAACAAATTCACTTGGGAGAGAAACGAGCGAGTCGGCTCATGGTGAAAGCCCCTTGTAACTTAGGTCGATTCGCGATTTCTGGTTATGTTTTTTAGTTATTAACCAGATGTGTGTAGCGTTTCCTTGCCCGGGATTGTTGGACATGTGTGTTTGTTTGGAATGTTGATTTTTGTTGGGAAGTTGTTGAGAAGAAGTGGTTGAACAACTCCCCCACAGGAAAGCCACAAGGGCATTTGTATTTTTTCCAGACCCCCTATGTAGACCTAAGCTGGGTGCCAAGGCAAAGCCAAGCGCCAACAATGCAGCTCAATTGAGATTTTGGGCCTTCACTATTGCAGGGGCCAGGGCAAGCAAACGAAACACTTGCCCAAAGCAAATCAACCCTTTGACCTTTTGATTTTTGCAGTTTGAGTTTCTATTTCCGCCATTCCAAAAGGCGACTAAAACCAAAAACATCGCCTTGCGACTAGGTTCAATACAAGTGCGTTGGAAGAATGTTGACCGGAAAGAAAACACCACCCATCGAGTGCTAGGTACGTTTTCCCTCACAACCCAGATGCCTTCTGGAATGTGGTTGGGGGGGTCTTGATGTCGCCTGTGTCTAAAAACTAAAACAGATTAGGGTACCACTTGTTTTTCTGTTTTGTTTTGCTTGGATTGAGGGCAACCCGCTTCCCCAAACTGAGCTTTTCACCTTTTGGTCGCCTGTTTGTTGGTGCCAACATGGCAGTCTCTTTTAATTACAAATGCCCTCCCAAATGGTTGGCGGGCACAGATCCCCACCTAAATACCATTTCGGGTCAGCTACAAATGGCCGTGGGTCAAAACCAATGGTACCATTTTGGGGTAGGTGAATTCACCACCCATCTTAGAACCTATTTTAGTAGTTGGATTGGGATGTTCACTGCGTGTACGATTTGGATTTTGTGCATGGCCAAATTATCTCCGGAGCGCACGAGTCGCGAGGAGTTCTTCGAGGACCCAAAGAAGGCGGAGTGGGCAAAGCAGCAGCTTGCCTTGATCATGAGATAGCTTTGTTGCATTTTGCCGAGGGATGTTACTACTTTAACTTTTTGCCCACTAATGGGTGTTCCGTACTAAACCACAAAAAGTTCAACTTTTAGCAGGAGACCAGAAAGCAACCGAGATAGAGGTCACTCACTTGGTCGAATCCAAGTCGTACTTTTCAGGGTCTGGGGTCTTGTGAGAATCTAAGTTGCAGGTTCGGTTGCGCAGCCCCCCCCAAAAAAAGGCAATGTGCAATCCAGACACCCAGATACACGCAAATGAGGTTGGTGAAAGTGTTGATTGTGCTAGCGGTCAGTCTGGGAGGAGTTGTGGGAGGCTAAGAGGAAGCGCAGAGTTTTGGAGGGGACCTGGCCATTTCGTGGTCCCAGGGTCAGGCAACTTGGATCATCTCTCGCTTTTCATGGTGCCCTGGGGCCGCGGATCACGCAATTCAACTCTTGGAAGTGCCAGCTGCCTGGCTGAATTTTCACCCCAGAGTCCGCTTGAACTGGACTCCGCAGCATTGGGAGGACCTTTGGCGCTCCATGAGTTCCAACTTGCACTGGCCTCTTTTGTTTCGCCCCCGAGAGGCATATGGTTTCAGGGTGGCGCATACCGGCGCCCAACAAAGGGACGCCCTGCGTATCCCTACGTGTTTCCCTTGGTGCGAAGGGGGTCCGTGGAGGGGCCACCCCTCTCGAGCATGCCAAACCTTGGGTGATCCATTCGCTGCTTCATGCATCCTGGCTTTGGGGAAAGGTGTTTCAAGCATTGGCGTCTTTTTAGTTTAGTGTTGATTCGACATGGGTGAGTTCCACTGGTTCAAAATGGATCAATTCCATTTACCGGGGCCATGTGATGCCAAAGGAATCCCCTTGGTAGTGACCAAAGTTGTTACCAAGATGGCTTCCGCTCTTTGAAGCCAAGCCCTTTTTCTACCGTCACTGGAAAAGCGCTGGTGTGATCGACGCTTCGGCCGTGCTCGCCGTTACCTCGCCATTCGCCCCAAAACTTCCCATGGTCAGGGGGTTGCGAAGAGGGGACCTCCAAACAAGGCACCGAAAAAGGATCCCCAGTTTCCCCCTGCGAAGGCCTTCGCCCTCTTGCCAGTTTCCTCACGTCCCGCCTTGGGGGCAGTGATCCAACTCCAAAAGAGCCTGGTTTGATTGGAGCCGAGCGCGAATTCGCGCTGTTTGGAGTTGCCATTCGGCTGTGAATATCACAGGGTTCCAAGGGTTAAGCTGAGTTGAGCGAGTTTGCTTTCCCTCGTCAGACTTGGACTTTACTGTTCTTGCTGCGCGTGTTAGGGTTGCGTCCCTTGTCGGGTTCTTTTTGCTTTGTGCTTTTGTTATGTTTTTGGCATGTGTTGTCTTTTGCTTTTCCGATTTGCCACATGTTTAGGCGGCTGCAAATATTCTTGGTCACACGTTGAGCGCTCGTGAGGAAAGGCTACAAGGCGCTGCAGGATCCCGATTGCGTGGAGTGGCAGGATGCCTGGGAGAAAGTGAAGCCATTTTAGGTCAGGCAGATGCGCTTGCGCCGGGGCGTATTGGGTGTGAACATGTTCAATGGGGGGCACCACTTTTTGAGGAGTGTTCCCTATAAAAGTTTATCGCCAAATATGGGTTTGGCGCCTTCAGGTTCAAGAAACGTGGATTAGAATCGAAAGGATGAGTTCTCGTTGAGGGCAACAGTTGAGGGCAACAACTGAGGGATATTTATTGATCTGCGCAAACGCAAGCAGGCGCTTGATTCTGTTTGGTGGGATCCGCCTTTGCATGTGGTAAATGCAAGATGGCGCTATGATTTGCGCAGTCTCGCAAAAAGCAAATGCGGGAAGAATGAGGTTGGGCGCATTTGCATGCGCTTAGAGTCCAGCTCGTGAGCAGAAAAGCGCTGGGCTGGGGCGAAACCCATGACAAGTTAGGCTTCTGAAGGGCGGGTTCAGCACTGTGAAATCCCATGACTGGGATAAACCGGATGCCCATACCCGTGCCAAAAAAAGAGCCCCGTTCAAAGGAAGTGGTTTGTATTTTTGTTTCTCAAGGGTGTGGTGTCCAGCTGTCGCCAGCTCAAGGGGTGCGTTGCGGGGGTCTTGGTTTGGCAAGTTTGCATCAGGTGCTGCACCGGGGCACTGATTGCTTGCAACAGAGCGTTTGCATCAGGTGCTTGCAAATCATGAAGGGGTCCCCTTGAAATGGTGCAGTGTCTGGGATAGATGGCCGCATGGTGAAATTACAAAGAGTCTAGCTGGGCGTAAAAGGAGCTTGCCCATGATGCAGGTCCTCCAGTTGGGAGTTATAGTCGTGCTTTCCAGGTGGAGAAACCGAAGGCACGCAATCGCGGACGAAATGCGAGACAGCCCAGTTGAGCACAGGGAATGGCCAGCTACATGAAGCTGTGACGCTGGCATCCAGGAGCCAAAGTCAAAGGCTCAATTGGATGGGGTCGTTCCCATTGCTGGGTTTGTCTCAAACTGGAGCCATGGGTGGCTCCCTATGGCTTCCCAAAGGCAGCATAACTAGCCGGATCTGGTAGTAGTTCCTTGCCCGCTGTCATTCTAATACCAGGCTTGGAGCCCGGTTCTGGCAAAAGAAATGTTCCCTTGGTTCCGCGTCAGCGGTCTGTCCCTCAAGGTTTGGACACTAATCAAAGGACCGCCCCCGCCACTAAGACCCCACTTCCAGGGGCCCCAATAGATATTAACCGAGTAAGACCCAGCAAAAAAGAAGAAAAGGACATGATACGCCTTGGGATTTCACACGTTGACCAAATTGCCGGTGGGTTCCCATGACACTGAGGCTGCCACTTTGGTTCTTGGAGGTCCGTTCAATTCAAGCAATTTGAATCACCTCTGTCAGACGGCTGCTTTTCCCACTCCAAGCACTGAATTCGATCCAAGCCTCACATCAAAGGATTCCATGCCATTCACCAGCAGCTGAGCACCCCCGATGTTCCACGCATGACTTGGCTACTTGCTATGTGGGTTGAACTTTTCAGGGTCCTGAACAATCAAGACTTGGGTGTGGGTCAAAATGAAACCACCACGAGACCGCAGGTTTTAGACTTCGTTTCCATTTGCCAAGGTCCCATTTTGGGGATTCCTATTTTCGACCACAGCCACTTGCTTCGAGGGTCAGTTGGGACTGTATCTGCTGGAGTTCCCTTGGCCCCACCAGCCTGAGATGGATTCCACTCTCCAAGCACCCAGAGGAAACAGGGGCAACAGGGGCACATCGCCAGTCACCACTCCCTGCTTTTGTATTCAAGAGAGGAGCCAATGTACAGCCGTACGCCGCCAGTCGCTAGTTTGTCCAGTCTATTCTTGAAAGACTACTTCCAGGGAATATATCTCCGACTTGGATTTTGGGGAGCCTTGAAACCCAAGCTGGCGATCGCTGGATCAAGGGCCGCTCCTGGGGGAAGGAAGGTCCTCAGTCGCTATGGGACGTGGAAGGCAGGTTGGTGTAGAGTCGGGACAGTTGTTTCACCATGTCGCAGGTGACTGGAGTCCTGGAGGTGGCCAAGGTGAAGAGTCATTTTCTTTCCCATGTTGCAGGTGACTCAAGGTGAATCGCCAAGAGAATGCATACTGTCAAGACCTAGCTCCAGCAGTTCCACTCTTGGCCACTCAGCAACAGTCAGTGCTCACCGAGTAGCAAAGCAAGCGCCTGCCTTCTGCGCCACAGAAGGGAAACTTGCCATGGCGCACACAGCGCAGGGCTCTTAGGGCAGGCATGGCCTGCAAATCTACTTATTTGCAGGCTGCTTTTCAATGGCATCCCACGGGTTGCGTCTGAGAATTTATGTTGCACGCCTACCCTCATAAATGCGAAGGATTCCTCTGTTGTATCAGTGGAGCAGCGCCAGGGGCTGTTTTCTTGTGTAGGCTCGGTACCCTTTTGGGGGCTAGCTTGAAAGAAAAACAGAAGGAAGGAAGCCCCATTTTGTTGGTACGCACACGTAAGCCCCAAAGATCCCCACAGATGGCCAAGTGGGGCCCAGTTGCCCAGTGGCGCCCTTTTTTTCCCGTTTTTTTTGGGAAGGCGGCCTTCTGAAACCTCAACTAACCCAAAAAAAGGATGCTCTTTGTGCCCATGGCTACTGGGCATCTGAGGGGGTGTTCGGTGGATGCAGCATGTCCGAGGCCCAAAGCGGCTTCCGCGGCTTCGGCGGCTTGGCCGTTCGGAGAGGGGCAAGCCTTGGCGCTGTGAAATCAGAGGTGCATTTTGCCAAGGGATGTTAGGACTTTAACTTTTTGCCAACTAATGGGTTTCCATGAAAACCACAAAAAGTTAAACTTTTAGCAAGGGAGCAGATTTCGCAACCGAGAAATTTGGGTTGGGGCCAGTAAAAAAAAACTGATTTCCGTGTGGTTTTCTGTTTAAACAGCCGGAGAAAACGGGTAGTGAAAGCTCAACTTCCCGCGGCCGAGAGGAAGTTGCTGCTGCTCGCCCAATTCCAGGATATGGGATGCCCGCCTTTCCGCCTGTGTTCAAAACCCGGAAAAGGTGGTCCTATGTGGTCCTTTGATTTCTAGGGTCGCTGGGCGACTGAGCTGTCAGGAGATAGGAGAAGTAATGCTCGTCCTGCCTGGTTTCCGCAAGAAGTGAGTTCTGGCCATTGAGGATGGACCTGCACAAGGGAGCAAACACATCAGGGCTAGCCCTTGGAAAGTGGAAAATCGGATTCGTCTACTTCCAATAGGCAGAGTTCCTCCGACTAGCAGGGCCTCCAGGCAAATCCGACGTTGAATTTACTTGCCTACGCTTGCTCTTATCAACTAAATCATTTTGCTTTTGCAGAAGTCGTTCGCAGCACACTCTCCAGGCTGTTTTTGTTTGCTAGTCGGATGAATCCTGGAACACGTTGCGCAACTTGGCTGAAACAACACCTTCACGCCCGCTCTGCGGAACTAGCTCAATCAGTATGATCATTGAACACGAAGACGCTGCTGCTTGTCTACCGTCCAGGGTCTAATCCAGAACTACGAGTGATTGCCACCCCACGGGGCCCGAGGGCCTCGATTGGTAGACTCCAGCCTGTGAACCCAGCACCACGTCGGTGCCCATTCTTTATTTCAAGCAATTATTGTTCAAGGCATCTTTCCATGGAAGGAGGGGTCACTTTTCAGAAATGGCACCTTTCTGCGTTTGTGGGTTTCTGCTTTTCAGCTCCATTTGAGAAATCGGCTCAAGTTGTTGAAGCTGCCGCCCTTCCTTGGTACTTTGCAATAGCTGGCCTCACCTTTTCGAGTTCTTTCACGGACTGCTTGCAAAGACTCCCTCGTGGGTGGATCGGTGCTGATAAGACATGTTGTGCATGTGCAAGTGCCTGGATGGCTTGAATCATCTTTCTTTTTTCACCTCAATTTGAGGTGAGTTCCCTTTCGAGGTGACATTTGGGCGTTTTAGGGAAGGGGCATTTGGTCCAACATGAGCCATAAAGCGTCATTCCACAGTTGCGAGGAAAAAACAACAAGCTGTTGGCGGGTGCCTTTGGGATTCACCGAATTGGCTTACTGAACATTCTTAGTCATGATGGGTTCAGCATTACTTTGCCTGCAAGAAGTTGTACGCTAGGTTCTGGACGAATGACTTTGTTACCATACAAAAGGACCGCAACAGAATTGTGTTTGCGACCCCGAACCCCATCAAGGTGTCGTTTCTGGTGTCCCTCATTTCAGGTCAAATCAAATTCGCTGACGCTCTTTCCAACAGCCATGGAAGCGGACAGGACGAAATGGGAACTGAGGCTTGTTCGGATTGAGCAAAGGCATGCATTGCTGGCTGATCAAGCAATGCAGGCAAAGCACTGTGAGGACAGCCCCTGCTTCAAGGCAAGAAACCTTGGAAGGATGGGATGCTTCTTCGGCAACCCCCTTGGAACTTGCTGGTTGGATAGGGTTTGTGCCAGGATTTCCCGCATTTCCCCTGAAACTGCCAGTTGAAGGGTGGTCAAAAAGCATTCGCTCGGTGGGGTGAAGGGTAGATACCCAGCCATCCACCGCTCAGACGCAATATTTGAGGCGTCTGCCTCCCCGCCCTTGGGACGGCGGAAATTCGGAAAGCAGCCGGAGAGGTGCGGAAGCCGATGGCAGCCCTAGTCACTTTGTGGGTTTGGGCCATTTTGGTGGCAAACCAAAGAAGCTTAGACTTTTTTGGGCGATCCACTCAGGAATTAAGCCTTGGAGTTGAAAGGTTGCCCAAACCTTAAGACGTTTGACAGAGCTTGGAGGGCCCCCTCCCTGTTTCCAATTGGGAAGATCCAGAAAGGTCGGCCTTGTTTGGTTGCCAGCCGGGAGTGAACGCTTCCTTTTGAGACAAGGTTCCCTCAAAAACCCAGCAGCCCACACCCTCAAAGCAGGCCAATGGAAACCTGGGCGTCTGCAATGGGAATCCAACGCCATCCAAATCCCAAGAAAAGTCACTGAGGACAGTCCAACTTAGAGGGCTTGGGGTGCGTCTTTTTCCCCAGAAAGGTTCACCGGGGACCTTGGGGCTTCTCATCGAAGAATGCTTAGGACCCTTCTGGGTCGAGTCGCCTGATAGGTCCT